TCATTTGCAGCGTTGGGTCCGCACTCATCCTGTAAAAGACACGTTAGCGGAGCCTGTGCCTGTCCCTGATAGGGTGAGGGATTGCAATAAGAATAGATACTTTCATCAGCTTCCCAGACGGCCATCACTGCATCATTAAAAGGAACGCCCGACTCTGCGGTTTCGGTAACTATCGTAGTTGGGAAACCAGCTACTGAAGCAAATCCCTGGAGGCAGTCTACCAAGTCGTTCAACTGATCAGGGTAGTATGTCAAGACCCAAGATGCATAGGAAAAATCATCATAGCAGGCTAGACCCTTTCCGTACTTGCTGTAGCACGTCTCGAAAGACCCAGTCCAAAATGGATTGTTGACGGCGAGAGGCATGAATTGAACATCGAGTGCTTTCAAGGCAGGTAATTGCGACATGGTCTATGCGGAATTGAGCTTGTAGGCAACTGCTTTTTCGACGTCAAGATTTTGTCCCAGACTTCCCCACCTTAAACTCAAATCGTGCCTTTATATAGGAACATCGTCTTCGACACCGGTGACAAGCGGAAAATTCGGCTGTTCTATTGACCGTGGCAAATTTCCATGTATTGTTGTGGTAAACCGTGCATTGAATCACGCTCAACTGTCAACAAACTGCAACATTGGCAAGTAGTAACCACGATGCCGCTGTTTGTGTCTAAATTGCCTCGAGAGCCCGACAAAAAACCTCTTCCACGCATATTTACGACGGGCATTTCAATGTTTTCCTGTGAGCTACCCAATCCCGTTCTTAGCATTAGTTAGGTCACCATGCAGCTTATGGTCTTAAGAGTTTGGCAGATTTTTTTTACGCTTATACTATCTTATCTGAGGAATAGGTTTTTTTGGTTGCCTAACATGCTCGAGAAAAACTTGGCTGCAGAAAGCGGCATATCCGGAGAGTTAAGACGGGAGGTAGAAGTGAGAGCCGAGAGGGCGATATATTTGTGAATTGGTCAGGATTAACAGGCTTTCGCGATAATCAACGGAGGGATACATCGATGAGCAGAAGAAAACTATTTGGGTAGTGTCTGAAATGAATATCCAGTTTTATACTGCAGCTTTTATGGTACACGTTAGTTTGACATGCCCTCCTATGCAGACAGGTTTTTACAGTTGGTAAGTTCGCAGATCGTCTTGTGTGTTCTTTCAAAACATTGGTGTCTGATCCATTGTGGCTATTGTATACAAAGTGTGTGCTCTCGGCTTCTATCAGGCGCCAAGCCATAGCAGACGGCATAAATATTTCAATTCACTCCCAAGCTAATAATTCATCAACCAACCGTCGACACTCGCTGATTTGAAGTGTCAGCTGTGCCCAGAAATCCATGCCCCAATTGCTTACAAAACAACTTCGCAAGCTGAGCTTCGGCTCCAGACCCTTAACAGATCAGTACTGTTTACTTGACAACCTCCACTGTGTTTTGAGTATTGAATGAAAAGTTCGCATATCTTAAGTGCTGTGCTGATCCTCCTATGGCTTGCTTGATTTGGTTACATGTTGTGGAAAAAGTGACAATCTGGGCTTTCCTTCGCATTGTAACAAAGCGAAGCTGTTTCGAAAATTGACAAATATTCAGCACGAAGAAATTGCAATAGACATCGCCGTTTTCGGTTGATTCAGTTCTTTTTTATGAACCTATACTATTTAGGGCACACAAATATTCAGAGAACACGGGCCCTAAAGAAAAAGCTAGATCTGCTTGAAAATTTCTAGACCTCTAGTCAGACTTGGCCAGCAAGTACCGCAAAACTCCGAGTTCGCCTGGTCTCCATTTCGGCTATGAGCGCATACTAAGCGGTCAGATTTTACAGCAGGGTTGTTGATTTGACATTTTTTAACGTGTGAAAATATATCTTCGAAGGTCATCTTGGTGTGCTTGCAAACTGACAGGCATGCTCCGATCCGCTACCGTGATTGTCATTGAACAAATGAGCCCACTTGATGAGACAAGACCTTACTGGGAATTCCACAGAGTGCACGGCATAATGGTCTAGAAATTCAACAACATCAAGCTACCCGCTCTGGGCGCCGCACCAGAATCGAGCATTTTAATTGACCGACTTGTGATCAGTCGGCTGTGTCGATAGTCTGATTTAGACACGCGAGAAAGATTTAGTCTTCGTGAATGTCCGGAAACTCAATTCGTAGCTTTGTAAAGACCTGGCCTGTTAAAAAGCCAAATATAACGGTTTCACCTATCCGTGCCAGCGTTCCGGCAATCAAATAAATATTCTTTTGCCATGACAAATCAATAGGGTCATATGAGCTCTGTTTCCAATTCCAAGCTTATCGTTGTCATCCATCAACTGCGTCGAAATTTTCTTCGAAATCTTCGAGTTAGCTATTTTCGGACCTTTAAGAAAGGCACTGCAAACTGCATAAAAATATCTACTCCCAATGTTATAAGAGCAAGACCACACAAAAAAATGGAGCTAAAAGAAATAGAGGAGCATTTGATCGGTGCATCACATGCAAGTGATCAACACTTGAGGCTCCCCCGCGATATTTTCCCTAACAAGTTTCAATATGAAATAATTCGGCACAGGGCTGTCCTTCTGTTGCTTAGCTCGGAGTTGGTACTTTGTTCCTTTTTGTTTTATATGGGATTGCAAGCTAATGAGGGAGCCAAACTTGTTATTTCAGTATTTGTTGTCTTCGGTGGATCAGTTGCTACCTTCATTACATGTACGATGACATATTATGCCGCGCTCGACCGGCCGAAGACCGCAGCGAACAGACTGGCGCTTGTGAAATTTATAGCGGACTTGAAACCAGGAATTGACATGAGAGAGTGGGATGTTATTGCTGCTCGAATGAACTTATCTATGCATCGCAGCAGCTCATTGGTTTCACCTTATTTCTTTTACGATGGTGAGTCGTGCTATTCCTACTTTAGGAGCTGTTGCCTAGTGCCTTTCTTGGCATTCAAAAGCGCAAACGATGCAAAGGAAAATAAGGTACCTTTAAGTGAATATCAGCGCATGCTTGACCATGCTATAAGAATATACGAAAGGGCGAACGAGGACTGGCAACAAGTAGTAAATGGAAATTCGTCGCTGGAAACTTAGATGATACAAACACAGCATATTTTAAAGTGGCGCTTGCCCCAGTTCGGTCGGAGCTTGGAATAATAATACTGCTGAGAAAAGTGTGTTAGTATATTTCCGAGTTCTAATCTCCGTAGATTCCGATCTCTATACAAGCCATTCAAGTATCTTGAGTGTGGAAAAAGTGCGGCGAGTTGTGGATAAAACGCGTTCCAAATTCTCAGGTTTTCCCAAAGCGCTATATTCTACCTCATTGATTTCCCCATGTTCGGCATCAAGCCAACCAAATTAGAGGTACAAAACAGGACATCTAGTTCCGCAGAGATGCACTGAGTTTTGTCCATTATTAGGATTTTTGCCAAGACGGCTCCAAGCTGTATGTAAGCTGTTCTGCAACCTAAGCGTTTTTTCGAAAGGTAAGAGTGAGCGCCGCATAATGCAAGCAGGACATTTTCTTTCACCGCGGTACCTATCAAGGAGTTTATCGTCGCCAAAGTTTCCGATTACGAATTACACACGACCAAGATGGGTAGTTCTTAACATTTTTGATCACTTTTTTGACGGAGCTCCCTATTCAACATGATTTCAATTGAGAGCAATTGAACCTTCACATCTCAAGCATAGATTCTTAATGCTAAGTGTTTCTGTGTTTTTGATGCTGCTTGCGACAAGCGATCGATCCAGAACTTACTATACCATTGGCCATTAGAAACTATTCTCTTTAGCTCCTAGAAAGGAGGGGTCTCGTCCCATATGTTCAAACTGTCCCAAATATTTTCCCACACGGGTGAGGATATCATGAGCATGTATGAAGTAACCTTTGGTCCTAATGTGCACACCGTTTACCTTGTAGAGCAGTCAGATAGTGTGGTTTTCTTACTTTGGCTTAGTTTCAGATGTAAGGAGAAAATGCTCTTAAGCCAACTGAGTCTTTCACAGCCAATCTTTCAGCTTTACGACTTAGTAATATTCCTCCGAAAAAGCCCGATGTAATAAGAAGCGCAAGCTTCTTGCTTCCGAAAGGACCTTGTGTTCCAGATTCCTTAGGGTAGCTTGAGAAAAGTAATGATATTTAATAAGGATACAATTTTTAAGAATACAGACTAGCTGCTTTGGTTGTAGATCGTTTGACTGACGATATCAGCAGATTATATTCGAAGCTTTATATGAACCTTGGTTTGCGAGTAGTGTCGCGCAGCTGCTGCCTAGATTAACGCCAAGGGCAGTGCAAGTAGAAACCCAAGTCCAAGCTTCTGAGCAGCACCTTCATACGTTGAAACTGGGAAAGTAGCACTCGAGGATGAAGCCGAAAAAGAGCCGGAAATTTGTGTTGGAGAAGTTGAGGGAGAAACCGTGGTGGTTTGGTCGCCAGGTTGTGATTGAAGACCAAATCCTGCTGTTATCGAAGCAAAACTATTGATACTTTGCTCGCTAGAGCTTGATGGATTTTCATCACTGTTATGTGGAGAACCTTGGTTAATGGCAGGATTTGCGGTGGTGGAAGGTTCACCTGGGCTACTATTGCCGTCGTAACCATTGTTTGAGTTTGGTACGGTCGGTTGGACTGTCGAGCGTTGGAGAGCCTGCTGGTGTGCCAACTGGTGTGCCAACTGGAGAGCCAACTGGTGTGCCAACTGGTGTGCCAACTGATGTGCCAACTGGTGTGCCAACTGGTGTGCCAACTGGTGTGCCAACTGGCGTGCCAACTGGTGTGCCAACTGGTGTGCCTGCTGAGTTGATATTAGACCCACCTAGAATAGTAGCTGTATTTTCAACCTTCGATTCGGAAGTAGCAGCAGACTCACTATTGGTAGCTGTGTTGGAGTTTGAGGTTCCGGATAATAAGTTCATGCTGTTAGAGCGCGTTGGGACAAGAGGAGCAGCACTCGTCACTATTTCTGTCTCAGTTACATCTTCAGTAAAAGAGTTAGAGCTTGCTTGGCCCGCCAAAGTAGGCACAGGTTCGGAAGAAATAGTAGAAATCGAAAAGGGCGTAGCTGGTTTTTCCACAGAAGATTGTGACTTGACAGATCCTGAAGGAGTGGTGCTGGACCACGGAGATGTTCTAACTGTTGAAAAAGTGCCAGGGTAGCCGGAAGAAAGTGATGAAGCGGCAGCGCTGGAGGTCACAGCAGCATTCGCTTCAGAGCTAGGGGGGATTGAGCTTCCAGGCTTGGCGCTCTTTGTAGTGCTATTTGAGTAAAATCCTGACATCGGAGTCTCAACATAATAAACTGTTTGTGTAGTTGGCATGCCGTCAGTTCCTGTAATTGTCGACAGTTCAGTTGAGTATGTTGATGTGACCAAGCCACTCCATCTTGTATACACAGTCGAAGCAACATTCGGGGTCTCGACATGGTAAACCGTTTCTGTTGTTGGCTTACCATCAGATCCAGTGAAGGTGATGACATCAGTGGAGAAAGTTGAGGTGAAGCTGCCGGTCCATGGAGTGAAAGTAGTAGATTGAACGTTTTCGGTTGGAGTTTCAACATAGTAGATGGTTTCCGTAGTCGTCTCACCGTCCGATCCAGTGAACGTAGTGACGCCAGTTGAGAAGGTCGATGTGAAGGAACCAGTCCATTCAGTGTAAGAAGTGGAAACACTTGCTGGTGTTTCAACAACATACACGGTTTGCGTGGTTGGTTTACCATCCGATCCAGTGAAGGTGGTTATACCAGCTGCAATCGTTGACCGGAAGGTACCGGTCCATGCAATAAATGAAGTAGAAGCACCAGTTGGGGTTTCAACGTAGTAGACGGTTTCCGTTGTTGGAATACCATCCGATCCAGTGAATGTGGTGATATCGGTGGAGTAGGTAGAAGTAAAGCTGCCAGTCCATGGGGTGTAGACGGTAGAAGCACCAGTTGGGGTCTCTACCAAGTATACAGTTTCAGTAGTTGTAATACCGTCAGATCCAGTGAAGGTCGTGACATCGGTAGCATAGGTAGAAGTAAAGCTGCCAGTCCATGGAGTGTAGACGGTAGAAGCACCAGTTGGAGTCTCAACATAGTAAACGGTTTCCGTGGTTGGAACACCATCCGATCCAGTGAATGTGGTCAACTCGGTGGAGTAAGTAGAAGTAAAGCTGCCAGTCCATGGGGTGTAGACGGTGGACTTAGCACCGCCAGTTGGGGTCTCAACATAGTAAACGGTTTCCGTGGTTGGAATACCGTCAGATCCAGTGAATGCGGTCAACTCGGTGGAGTATGTAGAAGTAAAGCTGCCAGTCCATGGGGTGTAGATGGTAGAGTTGACATTAGCAGTTGGGGTCTCAACATAGTAAACGGTTTCCGTGGTTGGAACACCATCCGATCCAGTGAATGTAGTGACATCGGTGGAGTAGGTAGAAGTAAAACTGCCAGTCCATGGGGTGTAGACGGTAGAGTTAGCACCACCAGTTGGAGTCTCAACATAGTAAACGGTCTCGGTGGTTGGGATACCGTCAGATCCAGTGAATGTGGTGGCACCAGTTGAGAAGGTCGAGGTGAAGGAACCAGTCCATTCAGTGTAAGAAGTGGAAACACTTGCTGGTGTTTCAACAACATACACGGTTTGCGTGGTTGGTTTACCATCCGATCCAGTGAAGGTGGTCATACCAGCTGCAATCGTTGACCGGAAGGTACCGGTCCATGCAATAAATGAAGTAGAAGCACCAGTTGGGGTTTCAACGTAGTAGACGGTTTCCGTTGTTGGAACACCATCCGATCCAGTGAATGTCGTCAACTCGGTGGAGTAGGTAGAAGTAAAGCTGCCAGTCCATGGGGTGTAGACGGTAGAGTTGACATTAGCAGTTGGAGTCTCAACATAGTAAACGGTTTCCGTGGTTGGAATACCATCAGATCCAGTGAATGTAGTGACATCGGTGGAGTAGGTAGAAGTAAAGCTGCCAGTCCATGGGGTGTAGACGGTAGAGTTAGCACCGTCAGTTGGGGTCTCAACATAGTAAACGGTTCCCGTGGTTGGAATACCGTCAGATCCACTGAATGTGGTCAACTCGGTGGAGTAGGTAGAAGTAAAGCTGCCAGTCCATGGGGTGTAGACGGTGGAGTTAGCACCACCAGTTGGGGTCTCAACATAGTAAACGGTTTCCGTGGTTGGAACACCATCCGATCCAGTGAATGTGGTGACATCGGTAGAGTAGGTAGAAGTGAAGCTGCCAGTCCATGGGGTGTAGACGGTGGAGTTAGCACCACCAGTTGGGGTCTCAACATAGTAAACGGTTTCCGTGGTTGGAATACCATCAGATCCACTGAATGTGGTCAACTCGGTGGAGTAGGTAGAAGTAAAGCTGCCAGTCCCTGGGGTGTAAATGGTAGAATTGACATTAGCAGTTGGAGTCTCAACATAGTAAACGGTTTCCGTGGTTGGAACACCATCCGATCCAGTGAATGTGGTGACATCGGTAGAGTAGGTAGAAGTGAAGCTGCCAGTCCATGGGGTGTAGACGGTGGAGTTAGCACCACCAGTTGGGGTCTCAACATAGTAAACGGTCTCGGTGGTTGGAATACTATCAGATCCAGTGAATGTGGTGATATCAGTAGAGAAAGTGCTAGTAAACGATCCACTCCATCCGGTGGTGGTAGTGGAGTTCACGCCCACAACTGGGGTTTCCACGTAGTAGATTGTCTCGGTGGTTGGAATACCGTCAGATCCACTGAATGTGGACAGGCCGGTGGAGTAGGTAGAAGTAAAGCTGCCAGTCCATGGGTTGTAGATGGTAGAGTTAGCACCGCCAGTTGAGGTCTCAACATAGAAAACGGTTTCCGTGGTTGGAACACCATCCGATCCAGTGAATGTGGTGACATCGGTAGAGTACGTAGAAGTAAAGCTGCCAGTCCATGGGGTGTAAATGGTAGAATTGGCATTCGCAGTTGGAGTCTCAACATAGTAAACGGTTTCCGTGGTTGGAACACCATCCGATCCAGTGAATGTGGTCAACTCGGTGGAGTATGTAGAAGTAAAGCTGCCAGTCCATGGGGTGTAGACGGTGGAGTTAGCACCACCAGTTGGGGTCTCAACATAGTAAACGGTTTCCGTGGTTGGAATACCGTCAGATCCAGTGAATGTGGTCAACTCGGTGGAGTAGGTAGAAGTAAAGCTGCCAGTCCATGGGGTGTAGATGGTAGAGTTGACATTAGCAGTTGGAGTCTCAACATAGTAAACGGTTTCCGTGGTTGGAACACCATCCGATCCAGTGAATGTGGTCAACTCGGTGGAGTAAGTAGAAGCAAAGCTGCCAGTCCATGGGGTGTACAAAGTCGAATCACTAGATGGGGTACCCACGTAATAGACGGTTTCGGAAGTTATTTTACCGTTAGCTAGGGTGAATGTGTTAACATGGGTAGAGTAAGTCGATGTTATAGTCCCGGTCCAAGGAGCGTAGACGGTGGAGTTAGCACCACCAGTTGGGGTCTCAACATAGTAAACGGTTTCCGTGGTTGGAATACCATCAGATCCACTGAATGTGGTCAACTCGGTGGAGTAGGTAGAAGTAAAGCTGCCAGTCCCTGGGGTGTAAATGGTAGAGTTGACATTAGTAGTTGGAGTCTCAACATAGTAGACCGTTTCGGTAGTTGGAATACCGTCAGATCCGGTGAACGTGCTCAACTCAGTGGAGTAAGTGCTAGTGAAAGATCCAGTCCATCCGGTAGTTGTAGTGGAGTTGACACCCACAACTAGGGCGTTTCCACGTAGTAGATAGTCTCGGTGGTTGGAATACCGTCAGACCCAGTGAAAGTGGTGATATCAGTAGAGAAAGTACTTGTGAAAGATCCAGTCCATCCGGTGGTGGTAGTGGAGTTCACTCCCACAAATGGGGTCTCCACATAGTAGAAAGTCTCAGTGGTTGGAATACCATCAGATCCGGTGAACGTGCTCAACTCAGTGGAGTAAGTGCTAGTGAAAGATCCAGTCCATCCTGTAGTTGTAGTGGAGTTGACACCCACAACTGGAGTTTCCACGTAGTAGACGGTTTCGGTGGTTGGAATACCGTCAGACCCAGTGAAAGTGGTGATATCAGTAGAGAAAGTACTTGTGAAAGATCCAGTCCATCCGGTGGTGGTAGTGGAGTTCACTCCCACAAATGGGGTCTCCACATAGTAGAAAGTCTCAGTGGTTGGAATACCATCAGATCCAGTAAATGTGGTAATATCAGTAGAGAAAGTGCTAGTAAACGATCCACTCCATCCGGTGGTGGTAGTGGAGTTCACGCCCACAACTGGAGTTTCCACGTAGTAGACGGTTTCGGTGGTTGGGATTCCGTCAGGTCCAGTGAATGTGGTGATGTCAGTAGAGAAAGTGCTGGTGAATGATCCAGTCCATCCGCCAACCGAGATTGAGCTTATGCCAACCACTGGAGTTTCCACATAGTAAATAGTCTCAGTGGTAGGTATACCGTTAGAACCCGTGAAAGTTGTTGTTCGAGTGGCAAATGTTGAAGTAAGGGAGCCAGTCCATCCAGAAATAGATGTGCTAGTGGCGGCTGCGGTTGGCGTTTCGACGTAGTAAATTGTCATGGTAGTTGGAATTCGGTCGGATCCAGTAGTAGTTGTGACGCCAGTTGAATAAGTGGAAGTGACGCTGCCTGTCCAAGCCTGAGTCGTTGTTTTTGTGATGGCTTTTGTAGGAGTCTCGAGGTAGTAGATGGTCTCAACTGTGATGGAACCATCGCTACCTGTATTTGTAACCTCGGCAGTGCTGTAAGTAGAAGTGATACTTCCAGTCCAAGGAGTATTGGAATAGGAAGTAGAACCCTTGGTAGGTACTTCAATTACTATAAGTGTTTCTGGGGTTATATTACCATCATCACCAATATTAGCAGACGTAGAAGTGATGGTGCTGGTATAGGAATTGCTCCACCCAACGGTAGTTGTTGGGTAGCTTCGATCATCTCCACCACCACCACCGCCGCTGCCAGACTGGAAACTAATACGTCTGTTTGTGCTTGCACTTATCTTGCTAGCACCACATGTAATGGTCTCGACATAAGTGTTGGAAAAGGTTATAGCGTCAGTGAGAGAACGATCCAAAACCTGGTTGGCGTTGACGAAAAGATGATACTTGGCCGGAATATTACTTGCACTCACCACAATAGTATTTTGATTACAGGTGAGTTGGTAAGAAGCCGATGGCAAAGACGTGGCCTGCACCGGAAAGTTATATTGGTTAAAAGAGCTCGCCATGCTAACGTTAACGTCGTTGCAGGCGGCCACAGCGCCCATGGTGCCGGGAGAGCCACGATAAATAAGCGACAATACTTCGTTAAACGAGCTACTGGGGCAAGCCATACCCACATAGTACGCCATTTGGTAGGTACTGGTGGCAGGAAACTGGAAATCGTAGCCAGAAAATTGAGTCTGGGTGACAAGCGGCGTTGCACGCGGATTGGTAGCGAAGGAAGCAGTAGCAACAAGATCGTTGTTCCAGGTCACGGTGTTGACCCCGACAGTCCAAGCTTGGGCAGCCGCTAGAGCTCCAGGAGAGCCTGATCCACCGTCGTTGAACACCAAGGAAAACGACAAAGTACCGGCGTTGCTGGCGACGGTGGCCCTACTGATTGTGCACTGCAAGCGAGTATCTGCTGGGTCGTGGAAGCCGTTGACAATCAGACAGTTGGCAAATGTGCTACCGCCAGACGTCAGAGGGATGTACGTATCGTATCCAATTGTGACAGATCCATACGCCTTGATCACGTGTGGCATGTATAGTTCGAAGGTGTCTCCGCGAACGGCCTGCATTTCGGGTGTGATGGCATAGGTCAGGGAAGCCTTCCAGAGGGTTTCTGGGTAGGCAGCCTTCGCATTACTAGGAGAGAGCGACAGAGTATTAAAGACGTCTGAAAGCGATTTAGCGTCAGATAGAATGGCCAGCCCTGCCAAAAACAGGACGGCGTGAATCCTGGCAAAAAGTTTGCCCATGAGAAATGTGTAGAGCAAAGCTTTCGAGAATCTGTGTAACCAAGAGTTGCTTGATCGGAATCCCGTTGAACTCTGTAGCGTCTGTGATGGGGATTTGTCTGTTATATACAAAAAAAACCTCCAGTCTTTCGGAGAAGAGGGCCAAAATACGACGCACGCACGAGCAAGAGTGACGCTCTTCAATTGCAGACAGGCTTATATTTTGTCACTTGTTAATCTAGCTTGCAAGTTCGTATGAGTTCCTCGAGTCTTCTTCAGCACATAACGCACAGATTGATTAGCGAGAGCTTCGGATGCATCGAGACCTGCATCATGCATCATGCATAGATTTACACTTACGGTATTTTTTTCCTTGTTTAATTTTTTAATCTAGGGCTGTTGATCATCTTCGTCATTTCAAAACTTTTTCTGCTTAGCGCCGCACTAGGCTTCGTAAAGGTATTGCAGTTGACGGCTTGAGTTTGCGTTTGATAGAGGGTTACGACGGCAAACGTTGCAGCCTGCATATGTAGTTTTATGCTGTCCTTGCATCTACAAGTTGGGTCATTTTTTTTTATGCGAAATAGGCAATATTCAGCTCCAAGTGAAAGATAAGTGCATGCGGATGACAATAGCCGTAGGGACGTTCGGATCAGGTGCAGCAAGCTTCTAGCGGTGATTTCTGCGGGAATGGTAGAGGATACCTAGTAGCTCTCGGTTACGGTTGGTCTCGCGGTGTGCAGACATAATATTACATACTGCTGCATCGCCTGATGGGAAGTCCACCCTTGGGGTTAATCTTTTTGCTGTCGTGCCGTACAAGCTTAGATCAACTCTTCGCAGCAGTAGTGCTGGTGACTACCAGCTCATTACCCAGGAAAAAGCACGATAATCTCCGTCTGCGCTTTTCATCTTTTATCGATCCGGATACGAGGTGCGCTCATTTCCATTGAGTATCGTCACCAAGTCGAAGTATAATGTTTCCGAGCTCTGTGTGAACCAGGAACAAATGACTTTGACACCTGCGGAATGCCTATACAAGTGGGTTTTAAAATGTTTTTCGACTGTGGTGGTCTTTCAAGCCATCCGGGAACGGTAGGAAGGATTAAGCGCCAGGCAGGTGGCGAGAAATGGGTCGTGCGTCAGATGAGATTTTGCAACTGCGGTCTTGAGATTAAATTCGGGGGATCCACGAGTTGAATTCGGAGCGTGGATGATAAAAGCTTGGCGATTCGCTCTTTCTCTAAAGTTTAAGGCTCTCCCACTAGTGCACGCTGAACAACAAATCTCTGAACCGACAGGACGAAATAGTAAAGCTGAGAGCTTAAGAATCAGGATTGGGTTTCTGTGAAGAGTTCCGCTGATTCATTTGAAGAGCTTGCGGTACAGTTCTATAGTCTGTGGGAAATGAAGGGTCCGGAGTAGGCAATAGCATCACTAGGCACATCAAAAAAAATTGTATTAGTTATTCCCATGAGAAGAATAGAACTTTGCTGGACCTTCCATCAGTAATTGACAGCAAAGCCTAAGAGAAAATTCAGTGCACCGCGAATGATTGCCAGCCGATAAGACCGTCATTATTATATGAAACTCAGCGTTCACCGTATCAGTTAAATTACTCGGTATTGTGATCTTGACGAAATCCGACCTTGAAGCCAGAAGCTGTGCCTAGACGCCTCATCGAAAACACTAATGTGGTCAGTGTATGTGCTAAAAATTGTTTTAATACGTCTCCTGTGTGCAGTACTTGTCGGTTCGTCCATCATAGCATATTTTTGCCAATCGGAAGAATTGTAGCGCGTATTCCCTTTACAGATCTTCTACTTTCATAACGACATCTTTGACAAGGGGTAGGAAGATACATCGTTCAACTAGTAAAAGCCTTGGGTAGGAAGATACATCGTTCAACTAGTAAAAGCCTTCGGCGTCACTCTTCAGACCAATTTTTGAAAGCCAGTGGGTAATTCTTTTCTTTCAAACCAAGCACAGGCTGTTTTTGCAAAAAGCCTGGGTAATTGCCTATTCCATGGATGTCGTATTTCTGCTTCTGTGACAGCGATGCTTTCTTTATTCAAAGCAATCTCGACAAGTTTCTTGGCATCTGCAGGGTGATCTTTTGATGGCACAATCCCTCCCTTTCCAGCAGCAACGACCAATGTGCGTGCCAGCCAACTTGAGGGCCACTGAGTACTATTTATTGGATTCACAATCTGGCGACAAAGGGATAATGTGCAAATTGAGCAATCGATTCTTTGCACATCCGCACCATCCATCAGCCAGCGCACCAAAATTCGAGGTACTAGGTTCTCTGAGCGAATCATAACCCATACAATCTGCGGTAAATACGGTGAGAGTACAGATGGCGGAAACACTTCAAATCCGGAGACAAACACATCATTCACAAGCTCTGGATACTGCGATGCCAAATCAATAGCAACATGCGCCCCTAAACTCAATCCTACTAAGCAAGCCCGCTGATCTTTTGCCATTGTGCGAATCAACTCTGCCAGCATGTCAACAGAACGGGCAACGGAAAACGGTTTGATTTGACGCGCATCGCCGTGTGCGGGAAGGTCAGGAACCAGAAGGTGATATGTGGAAGGCATATATGGAACAACCATATCCCATTCTTCCTTTGAGGAAAAGGCACCATGAATGAAAAGTACTGTCACTTTTCCATTACTATTGATACTAGCATGCGGTAAGAGCATTGTTGTGAGGTAGTTTCCCAGGTAGCCCTTTGAGAGAGCGATAGTTCCCTAGTAAGTTGATAAATCAAGCAATTATCTTCACGTGCCTTCGCATCACAATGTGCTTGGCATTTATCTTCTTTATAAATCAAATTGTTCAATTTCGTTCTTCGCCACGACAGGGAGTAGTGGTCAACGATTACATCGTCATATAATTTTAGTTGACGCATTATCTTCCGAACATGATGCGGGAGCTGGTTAAAATAATCGGGACTTTGAACAGAGCCCTAGTTTGTGGCAAACGTCTTCGTTTCTCTGCAAAGCTGCGCCCGTTGTGAGTATTCCAAACGTCATTTAACTATCGAAACGTTTTAAAACTGCAGTCCTCAACTATTGATAATTCAACGAACTTCATGTAAAGGGAAGCGAGCGATGTACTTATAACTCATGAATGAGTGCCGCACGCGAATTTGTGTGTGCTTTTCGTTTATTCGAGGCATCTATTAAGATGTCTTCTTCAAGATTTGGTGAATTGCTCTCCAGCTTTGGACGCGAAACGCTTCTCTGCTTTCTCTGATACGTTCAAAGGCTCCAACTACCGTTAGTTTTTCATGGTCAGCTGTTGTGACGCTCTGGATCAAATTAGGCAGGAATAGGCTAGAACTGATATCAAGAAATGCTACAAATAATGCGTTAGAGCTGCTCATTGCTAATAAATATATAAAGCAATACGATTTTTGATTGGACCTGTAAGATGATCTTGTGATAACCTTCCTAATTTGGTGCAGCTGGATAAAATGATTTTTACCATCAGCTTAATATACCAAGCATCTAGCCATAGAAAACTGGGCCGAGTCTGATTCGGCAATAAAAAGGTATCGTTGTTTAGCTCATCCATAATTAATTGAGATTATTTCTGTTCGTGAATGAAGGTTGTGAATGTTTCGTTGTGGTATTCCTAATACCGTGTTGTTGCGCTCTTTACTCGGCACACTCAAACGTGGTGTACTTATGAATTTGAGTGACATTGCGATTGGCTTTTTCATCCAAAGCCACATCTTTCTTTGACATCTAGTTTAGAACTCAATTCAACGAGTATATAATGAGAACTAGTGTGTCGTTCAACAAAAAGACACCACTTAAGCGACCTTTGTGGTCTACTACTTATTTTTGATGCGTCGAGCTGCGTCGAACGACATTTCGCAACTAATGAGTACGACATGTTTCAAAGCATTCAGCAACAATCTTCGCTTATTCTCTTGCTTCTTTTCTGGAAAAACGGTGATAAGTTCTCTAGTTCCTGGAAAGGTGATATAAGAGCTGTTCATCGCGCTGAAAATACTTTTTTGATTCACTCAATGGGGATGGTCATGGAACTATACTCCTACGAAAAGCTACTTATTTGAAAGCTAGTATTTGTATTGGTACATTAAACTTTATGTCGCGACCAGCTGCAATTAACTGCCTTGATAGAGGAATGTCAAAACAATGGCTACTCAATCTTTTCAGAATCTCTTTATTAGAAATTATTTTTACACGATGCGAGGTTTTGAATACCTTAAGTCTTTAATGTCAATTTACCTAGGTATGCCTCTACTCTTGTAATAGCGTGGCGTTGTACTGGGTAGTGTTCCAGTCCCAGAAGAATGTCAGCTCAGTGGTGTTACTGACGCTTGAGGTATTGCATGCTTCAAAGAAATTTTGACCCTCCATTCTTTGGTTGGCGTAATCGTAAAACTCTTCAGCTTCGCAAGAGAAGCCAGGCCCGTCAGAGCAATTTTCAAGTGGAATAACAGCGTCGTTTACAACATATCTAATGTAGGAGTCATTCTTGCACTGATATTTTTGCGTGTACACCCTTGCGCCTTGAGGAATCATCCACGACTTGTGAAAGACATGATTTCTAAATGGGACAGTAGAAGGGTCCAAGTCCTTGTCGTCATCGAAGAGTCCCAACGTTGTTAGGTAATTGAGGATATCGGTGTCGTGGGTAAAGCTCAACCAGACCTTTTGATCCAAGTCATCGCTCTCTTTTAGCAACTTTACTGACGCATTCAAATAGTTAGCACCCACGGCTTGAATCATGGGATAGCCAGGACCATCTTCGTAGTAGCTTGAGAGGTCATCGTAATAAGAATAACGGATGAGCTCCTCAGGAGTGAAAAGATTACAGATTTCACTGAATCCTCGAGCATTTAACTCGTAAGCACACCAAGAAAACAAGTTTTCAGCATCACTTTTTGTCAGATTCAAACCATGATTTTCTTTGTTCATCCTTGTCGCTATGTCTTTCAAAAAATCTGTAGAGAAAGCATCAATGATATCAGCGTACTCGTCAGGATTCCATGCGGGACAAGAATATCCAGGAGATAGCGTGTTTGCACCCGCACTTGGTTCCTCACTTACCACTTGAAGTGAGATATTAAATTTATCGCCCAAGCTGTCAATGAAGTACTGTGCTGTATCATGTACTCTTTGAGAACTCGCGGCAAAAACGGCAAATTCACGGTTGTCCTCGAGAAATTCTTCATATTGCGCTAAGAATTGTTGCGCGTGCTTCTTAGCATCCATCTCACCGGTATATGGATTAATGGCATTAATTGAATTCTGGGTAGTTGTTTCCATTTCTAAATCATCCATATTTTGGATGAAAAACTCATAGTCGTCGTTAATAAACGCTAGTGACCCATTGAATTCGTGTGGATATTTCTGAAGAGTATTCCAAGTGTTCAAGAGCTTTTTACCTCTGCTTTTTGTGGGATATCTCTCACCATGTCTGGCAAGTAGTTGAACTTGTGTAATTTTACATTCCTTGGGTGGGTCAACTGGGATACCGTAGTTCTCTGGGTACGAAAAGTATGGACCAGCTCCTGCCAGGTAGGGAAAGATATGCTCTTGCGTTCCGATTTGGTAGAAATCCGATCTATCTCTCTTTGGAAGAACGAAGGCTCGCGTTGTGCTTAGCCCAGCAGCTGCCAGTAGAACAGCAGTTTCCAGCAACATATTTGGATTTCTTAAAAGGCTTCAGCTCAGTACCAAGAAGGACATTTCACATATTTTTCATCGATATTTATCATATTGAGCATCGAAACTTTTGTCCATTATCTTCGCATAAAATCAAATATAAAAATTCTCGTTATGGTGACCGATGGTCAGTTGAAGTTCTAAGACTTGCCGCAATATCGACAATATCATTGAGATTCCTTGAGCTGATAATTCTGGTAGCGAATTTGGAAAATTTTGGGAGCCCAAAAAGGTATAATAAGGTGCATTACATTGCAAGGTACGTACGGGTCTTCGAAAAAATAAACAAAAAAAATTTATTATTTATTGATTTCCAGGAATGACAATAAATATCCTAAAAAAGAAAGGCGCAACTTCCATTAAGAATGACTATGCAGTGACAGAGGGCCCTTGATCTTGATATTGTTCCTTATTCAGAGCTCGTTTGCATTTTTCAGTGACTATTAAGGCGAATGAAGGCAAGGTTGAGTAAGCGAGTACGTACGCTTCGGCTGGCCTATCTTTGAATTACAGCTACGAGAGACGATTTCCCAGGGAGTTAAAAGTAGTCTACAAGGCACACAGGGGATTTTTCTTCTGAACTGGTCTTCCTCAACTTTCTGCATGATTAACAAATGAGGCGCGAAAGGCACAAGATGTGATAATGCATCTCCATAATAATCACGTGAAGAAGATCCTCCGCTTCCATTATTGGACTTGAGCACGCGATATACTCAATCCTTTTCCCAATAACCACTGCAATGTTGAAGAGGGTTAATCGTTTGTGAATTACCCGATCAAACTCGCACTCTAGATATTTTTCACTCAAGATAGCTTTTTGACGAGCATTTCTGATCTTGCAAGTGAATACCAACATATTCAAGGCTTCTGGTAGCAACGAACTCCGGGGCGTGGCTACTACTGAGATGTACTAATACTTTCTTATTAGAGCTGGCCTTTCAGGATACACCAGATCTTGTCCATTTGTGAAAACCATTTACTTACATAGTTGGAACGGTACAGACTTTGTGACTTCGCGGAAGGCCGACATTTGGCCTCAGAATTCCATGAAGAATAGGACAAGCAACCTTTTGTGCACAAATAATTTTATACTCTCACTTAATAGTACAAACTTTTAGGCATCACTTTCCGAAGAAATCCTCGTTGAGTATGTAATGCAAAGTTTCAGAAGTGTAGTTATCATTATTATTACATTATTACATTTCTATAGTTTACAATCGAAGTGAAGATTAAAGTGATGCTCTAAAAGTTACACTTTTTCAAAAACTACCACGGCAGCTTTTTCGGAGTCTGAGGTGTTAGAATTATGAGAAGCAAAGCCTTCGGATGGAACAAAGGCCTTGGAATGACGAGCACTTGGGCAAGTTTCGAAAAGTTCGTCAATTTGTTCAAGCGTGAGACCCTTGGTTTCGTAGACGAAGAAGTACACGAATAGAAAGCACAAGAAAGTGCAACCTCCCCAGATAAAGAAAACTTTAGCCTGTAGGTTTCCGTATTGAGTGTCGACAAGGTATGGAGTAGCGTATGCAATGGCAAAGTTAAAAAGCCAGTTAGAAGCAGCACATACGGCAACAGACTTAGCTCTGACTCTCAAAGGATATATTTCACCAACAACAACCCAAGCGAGTGGGCCCCATGTAGCAGCAAAGGAAGCAATAAAAGTACAAGAGAAGGCAATTAGGGTTTTATTTCCAGCGATACTATTAGGTAGCGCAGTTCCAACAGCGGCAACAATTAGCTCACTGACACACATGCCGATAGCACCCCATAGAAGCAAGTTTCTTCTACCAGCAATTTCTACCAAAGCAATGCCTGGGACTGTCATAACAACATTGACGATTCCCATAATCAATTGAACGACAAAAGGGTCCTTGATACCCGAGTTCTGGAAAAATTGAGTTCCGTAGTAGAAAATGAAATTGATACCGGTAAGTTGTTGTAGACCTTGAATCGCTACACCAATTACAATTCTTTTCAATTGATGGTTAGCAGGCTTGAAACAATCGAAAATGGATGTAGAGCCAAATGATCTTTCATAGTTGTAATTAGCAACGATTTCCTCGAGTTCGGCCTCGATAACCTCGTGGCTTTCTGGCAGTCCTCTTAGCTTTGACAAAGCTCTGCTTGCCTCAGGAACCTTGCCCTTCATGACGAAAAATCTAGGTGATTCAGGAAGAAGCACCATCCCCACAAACAAGATCAAAGCCCAGAGAAGTTGGATAGCAATTGGAATTCTGTACGATCCGGTGTCATTCCTGGCATGCGTACCCTGATTAACACAGGCAGCGAGCAAGAGCCCGATAGTAATGGCCCATTGATAACAGGAGGTTACAGCACCTCTGATCCATTTTGGAGAAGCCTCGGCTTGGTATAGAGGGACAATGGCTGACAAAACACCAACACCGGCACCGGCAATAACTCTGCCCACAATCAAGAGATTTTGTTCGGTTGCAGCAATTTGAAGGACGACACCGACGGTGAAGATGATGGTGGAAATGATGAGCCCAAGTCTGCGACCCAAAGTGTCGGAAGCGAGTGGAGCCAAGAGTGCGCCACAGAAAGTGCCGGCTGACAAAATAGCCGTGATGAGCGACGTTTCCCCGGCTGTGAACTCGCCAGTGGATGTGAAGTGTTCTTTAACATAGTCCATGGTCAAGACACCAGAAATGGTTCCGGTGTCGTAGCCAAACAAAACGCCGCCGAAGGCTACAAATAGCCCGACGAAGATGGCCCGAAACTTGGAGCCTTGGATGTTCTCTTCGGCATGGAAGAGAGTCTGGAGAATACCCATTGTGTATGATTAATAGGCACGGTGCGCTGGAAGATTAGGTAATAATCAATTACCTAAGCGTAAATATAATGATTTGGAATGAAGCTCAGTAAGGTGGAAGCCACTGAACAGTTAAAGTTGTTTGGTTTGATGAGATATGAAGGGAAGAATGAATTTGATAATGTTACTCTGCCAGTGAGAAACCCTTTTATAGCTGAATTGAAATCTTTTCCCCACACTCCTGCTAGTCAACCAATTACTATAGCTCCTGACAACATCCGCCGAAGTAGTTGATGCAAAAACAATATTTTCGCGAGAGCGATGTGACAAACACGTTTACCTAGCAACCGCCATATCAACTCGCTTACGCGCAACCATTTGGTTAGAACCCTTCGCCCTGTAAACCAATTTTTTTTGTGAAAAACTTTTTCTGCCTTTTCTGGGCAAGCGGCGAACAATCTTTTTTGAGAGGGAAATTGCTTCCTGAGAGGGTTAGTCATTTCACGGCAAGGTTGTCAATGGAAATCAAAACCAATGTCTGGGGTTCATGATTCAATTCGGTATAGATACACTTTGGGGTGTGGAGTTGCGGCAGTTGTCGCGTTCGTTCAGTTTTCCGGATGGCTACTTAAAATAAGACTACATGGTTTGCAGTTGGGCCTCTACGGATAGGCTTGAAGACAATGACTTGATTTAGAGACAAGCGCTTGGAAAAAGGCCCTTATGAACTGTGGCCGTGATGGTATAAATTTCACAATACCTATGTGATGAGTGCTCCGCGATATTTAATTTTCTTGGTTCATTTCTCGCAGCAAACCGAAAATCTGTTACCCCGGAAAAACAACCGAGAAATGAACGACAGTCAAAAAAATCGATATCGTACAACCAAGAAGACAACGGTAATGGACCTTAATTTTGCTGCTGCAGCCAAATTCCGATACCCATGCAAATTTCTGAACGATCGGCTAACCTCGCGGATTTTAGCATGCCACAAACAAAGTTTTGAGCTTGTGGGCACATGCTTCCGTAACCAAACTGCATGGTTGCATCTGTCAAGAAAGCGAAAATGCTTCACGGCTCGGCTGCAAACTATCGGATGTTTAATTGATGCGGGGTCGTATAATAAAGTGGGCTCAATTTCCGGATATTGCAATTTTGAGATATTATTCTTAGCAACAAAGATTCCAAGTCATGGTATATAATTAAGTTTGGTTTGGGTGGTCACTCTTCAACAAGAACTTTACGCATTTATTCCCCGTGCTTCAATCACATATCAAATGAGTAACCGGTCTGCGATTTCTTCGTCTTCTTCTTCGTCTTCCTCAGAGGGTACAGGGGAGAGAATAGCGGAGACTACACGGGAACCAATCCTCCCAAAGTCTACGGGACAGGTCAAGTGGAAGGGAAACGTCAAAGAGCCAAATGAGAGAAATGAGGATTCTAACCAGAGAAACCGTAAAAATTCCATAGATGCACGCTCAGGTTTAGACCGAAGACCTGGTGAATCGGGAGGGTCTGCAAGGAGCACGCTGTCCCCGTTGACTCCGTTGAAAAAGTCAACTTATGAGGATGAGCAGCGTCCTGTACGCAGGGCGCGGCCTGTAGGGCTCGCATTTTCTTCGCCAAACCTCAAGGCTTTGAATGCTAGCCCGAATTACGAGCAGTCGCGGTTGGTAGATTATTACCATCAGGCTTCCACGGATAGAGGTAGTAACTATGTGGACCCGCTATACCGGCATCTCAACCCTTCCGTGAATGGCAACAGAGGCAAGCCGGTCTGGAGTTTGAACCAGCCTTTGCCGCATGTCCTAGATCAATCCTTAGCCAAGAGAGTTATGCAAAAGAACGCCGATGCGAAATCTCGAGCTTCGTCCAAGCCGAGTTCAACGGATGTGTCGCGTTCAGGCTCAACTACCTCAATAAATGACTGGCGAAAGGCTTTTAGACGCGTCACTTCCAGTAAGAAGTTGGATGATATCGAAGCACAGCTGCCGAATGCTGATGCAAGCAATATCTCATACAAGACCAAGCTTAAAGATGAAAAACAGTCCAATTCACACATAGAGCTTGGGAAAAGTGGTCAAAATCGAGGTCACCATAATGCCAATTTTACATTGGGTAGTGAAAGCTATCCTTCTTCTATTGTGGAAGAAAAGCCGCCAAATCCTCAGCCTGATTTGAATATGCCCGTGCCTGTAAATCCGTCGAATGGCCAACAGGCTGAGAAAGCAATCAATGGCGATATCGACGATGGTGGTGTCGACGATGATGACTCTGATCCCCTTACATTTACCAATTACTGGGCTAAAATAAGATATCGCATGCGGGAACCATTTGCGGAGTTTCTGGGGACGCTGATTCTTGTTATCTTTGGTGTGGGCGGTAATCTTCAAGCCACGGTGACCAAAGGTAGTGGCGGTTCCTACGAGTCTCTCTCTTTTGCATGGGGGTTTGGTTGTATGCTTGGTGTGTACGTCGCTGGCGGTATAAGTGGAGGGCACGTAAATCCAGCCGTTACCATTTCTATGGCTATTTTTCGCAAATTTCCCTGGAAGAAAGTTCCTGTGTACATTGTTGCCCAGATAATCGGGGCATTCTTTGGAGGTGCCATGGCCTATGGATATTTTTGGAGCTCTATCACAGAATTTGAGGGAGGCCCCCATATAAGGACCGTGGCAACGGGCGCATGTCTATTCACCAATCCAAAACCATATGTTACCTGGCGAAACGCCTTTTTTGATGAGTTCATAGGGACATCAATTTTGGTCGGGTGTTTGATGGCATTGCTCGACGATAGTAATGCGCCACCTACTAATGGTATGACAGCATTAATTGTTGGTTTCCTGGTGGCAGCTATCGGTATGGCTCTTGGATATCAAACAAGTTTTACTATCAATCCGGCGAGAGATTTAGGGCCTCGTATTTTCGCCTCTATGATTGGTTATGGACCGCAAGCGTTTCATTTCACTCACTGGTGGTGGGCATGGGGTACCTGGGGTGGTCCAATTGCTGGAGGAATAACAGGAGCATTGGTATATGATGTTTTTATATTCACAGGATGTGAATCTCCTATCAACTATCCAGACAACGGTTACATCGAACACAGAGTCAAGAAGATTATGCAGTCTGAATTCTACCATCATGAAAGTAGGAGCTCTCCTAGTACCGAAGCAGAGGGAAGCAGTAACAGTAACAGTAAGGAAATTAGCACAGAAATCAACTCTACATAGGGCCTACCTAGAGAGCAATAGAGCCTATCCATTGATCAATTCAGGATCAGCCGGGACGAGCGACAAAATATCGTCAACAAGACATTTCATGGGGCATAACAGGTCACATTGTAAGATAACGTTTACAAAAATAGTTTATACGCGACATTGTTTATTTTTAGTCCTATCAGTATACACTTAAAGGGCGCTTTAACGCTGAAAGACAAGTGTGGTTTTGCTTGGACCACCACACTTACTCTAAAAAATTCAATAGTGAGACGCCGCACGCGCGGTGCGTATTTTTTCGAGATGGAGTACGTATGTTGTCTTCCAGCACTCGCGGAGCATTTCAGAGAAGCCTTAATTATTACGGCTCCTTTATTCGGTCAGAACTTCTAGCTTAGGCTATGCCCGTCCCGTTTGACGCACGACACCATCTAACTGTTCATTTTGATGGAGAAAAGTTCAAGCCCTTTAGTTGAAGATTTTGCATTGTTTCTAACGGTTCCTCTTGAGCAGACATTAAAGCCATCTACACTATGACTATTTACCCGAAGTTCTATATTTATTTGTCTCGATCCCCAACGCGTCCGAGGCGCTTGCACTTGCAGGATTTGGTTTAATCAACGGCAGATTTTTACATTTATCAACCATGTGTGGGATATCATAAGTTCATCGCGCGCATGCCATGGCAAGATAGTGTATGTGCCGTGGATTGACCTCAATGCTAGTGAGTAGTTCCTAAAACTAAGAGTTTGTCGCGCAAGCCGAGGGCGCATCGTCATGAGTGCTCTCGACGCTTAACGAGCTGCAGTGCGCTTTGGTTCGCTTGCAATGCACTGTCAACCAGAGTAAGTAGGAGGAGCCGCATACGCCACGCTTTAAGATCATCCCACTACATCCGGATCACGTGAAAGAGTATAGCAACCAGCATATGTACCGGAAGAAACCCCATAACTCAGTTGGACAGGCCAAACCTTTACGCTATCCAACGAAAATGTAGTGGATGTTTTTATGGTCCGCTCCTGTAGCTCTGTACTTCAATTGTTCACATCCTTTGTACAATTCTGTTGCTAAATCCCGGTCTTCCCGATTTCTTAGCGCTCGCTCAAAGTTTGCCTAAACCCTGCGGCCTCGTTCTTGCCTGCGGCCTGAAACCTGGCGTGTAAGTATCGCAAGCACCAATCGCTTTTTTACTTTGAAAATTTTTTCCTGCGAGTTAATGCAGGAACCAAGAGCCCTGCTATAAATTACGTAATACTTTTTTTAGGAAACGCGCGTGGAGTTTTGACGCTAAGCATTCTACGCTCGAGCGAGAAAATTCGCACTACCGAATCGAAATGTCCTATCTGCACCGCTAGCGCCGATGAGACGAGCTCAAAGGTTCAAAGCGATACTTAAAGGTAAGCATAGTTCCAGTTTTAAGTTGAATAAGTCCAATTCGGCAAGCAACACTAACTGCGCTCTGGTTTGATATGGAGACGTTTACTGAGAAATATTTAGTGAGGAGCCCTCTGGCGTGGTATTCCAACCCTAAGTTCCTGCGTATTTTCCGTGTTGTGCAGCTTTTATCGTTGCTAACAGTACTTGGGCTTCTCGGATATGTTTGTAACCAAGGAACTTACATTTCAACATTTGGACTTATCGCAAGCAGCATTTCAGCATTCTACTTGATCGTTGTTATGATAATTCCAGTTCCTGCCAATATCGGTGCGCTCGTACTGTGTGTCTTTGAGGCAATCATGGCCGCCCTCATGCTCGCGGCTTTTATTGAGCTGGGTGCCGACAACGGCCGTATCGTCTGTGCTTCTGAGGTTTTTACAAGTGATCCTTCCAATTATTATTGGGGTGATTACTTTTACTTTTCTTGGGATGGTCGCGTGCCTTGCAAGGTAGCTCAGGCATCGATTGGGGTGTCAGGACTAGCCTTCGTTTTATTTACGTGTTCATCGATTTTGTTTGGAGTAAACGTGGTGGCACCAATTAGACGCGCTTTCGGCATGAAGTTGGAAGGTGCCGATGCTACCGCGCAGTTGCAAAGAGGTTCTAATCTTGCCATCAGTCGTACCGCAACTCTTCAAAATGACATCGAGGCTCTCGCACCTGAAACTAATGTAGCGGCACCAGAGACTACTTCGCATGTGGTTGCAGAGCCTACGGCTGCTGAGCCTACAGCTGTTGAGCCTACTGTTGTGGAGCCTGTAGCTGTTGAGCCTGTCGTGCCAAGAGCAACTGCTTAGCTGTATTCTGGCAGATATTTAGGAGCTCGCCAAAATAACATATTTAGCACTAATCAACAAGAGCCCTACAAAATAAAATGATGGGCCTAATAATTTTCCTGCCGTCAAGAGTCTGTATCTGCAAATATATAATTCCAACTACCATATAATTATATTGTATTGAGGTTCTTTTGTCAACTTGCGGTGAGGCAAAGGTCTCACCGCAATTGAATGCGAGTCCTTGATATTACTCTTTGGATTCAAAGACTCTCCCTCATGAACTATTGCTTGAAGTCTACAAGGTAGTTTATTTTGTGAAAAGACTGACAGCGCTAACGCAAGTAAAACGTTCTAAATGGGAGCTTAGTATCATGATGCTCGCTGGGGTTCCTTCAGAGCATTGAAGTGCTATTATCCTATTGAAATCATCAATTCACAATTTTAGCCTTGTGTACTAACTAGTAAGATATTCGCGAGTCATTGAGGTGATCCTAAACTCTTTAGATTACGGGGAAAAAATTTGGTTAAGCGATGGGATTCAACAATTGCAATCAATACGGGTATGTCAGAATTAGTATGATTTCAGGAATATATCAGTCGCACTACGCCTTATTAACGTTTGGGTAACCGCCTTTTTCCGTCTTCGCCGGTGATAAATTGGAGTTAAGAGCACGCACTATCTCAAGTTTTTTCTGTCAGACTGGTCAGGGACTGAAAGCTTCTGAAATACATGCGAAATCAGCAAAATCATTTTTTCAGGAACCGTGCATGTGTGCAGGGTTGTCTGTGCTCGAGCGAGATGATTTATGCGTCGAATTATAATAAACCGTATGCGCTGTTGGCGCCGATGTAAAGGCACAGAGGTTCATGGCGATATTTAAAGCTCGGTATATTTCCAGGCTGTAGCAGATGTTTAAATAGGACAATCAACACAGTTATCACTCTGGTTAGGTATGGCAGCTGTTACCAACAACAGGTTGATCAAGAGCCCAGTGGGCTGGTATTCGAACCCTAAGTTTCTGCGTATTTTTCGTGTGGTGCAGCTTTTACCGTTGCTTACACTCCTTGGGCTTCTAGGATATGTGTCTTACGACGGAGAGTATTATGCAACATATGGCCTAATCGCAAGCAGCATTGCGACACTCTATTTGATTTTAATTATCATTGTTCCAGTCCCCGCCAATATCATTGCCCTCATCGTATGTGCTTTTGAGGTAATTATGGCCTCCATCATGCTCGCGGCATTTGTTGAGTTGGGTGTTGACAACGGCTACGACTTTTACTTCTCATATTATTGGTATGAAACGTCGTTGGCAGCCGTTCAGGCATCGCTTGGATTGGCAGGACTAACCTTTATTTTGTTCACCTGTTCGTCGATTTTGTTTGGAGTAAACGTGGTGACGCCAATCAGGCGCGCTTTTGGTGTTCGTTTGGAGGGTACCGATGCTACCGCGCAGTTGCAAAGAGGCTCTAATCTTGCCATCAGCCATGTCGCAACTACTCAAAATGACATCGAGGCTCTCGCGCCCGAAACTCTTGTGGCGGTACCAGAGTGTACATCTCATGCGGCTGTTGAACCTGTAGCTGTTGAACCTGTAGCTGTCAACCCTACAACTGTCGAAACTGCAACTGTTGTACCTGCCTTGCCAAGAAAAAGCGCATAAAGGTTTTGTGGCAGGGTTTTCAGAGCTAACCAAACTTAACTAACATATCTAATCCTAATTAACAAGTTCTTCACAAGATAGAAATCGAGGGCATAGTGCCTTCTTTGCCTTCTAAGGTTAGGGTTATGGGTAATTTTGAGAAGTTTAAAGCAGTCCATGAGAAGAAACTGAAAGTGACATTTCGAGAGAAATATTTTAATATGAGCTTTTTACCAGGATGCATGCCCGAACTTCATAAAAGAATCTCATCTTGTATGCCTCATTGGCATCGCGCAGTATTTGTTAAGATATTTGTAAGTTATAGAGTTGATACTGAAGGCTTGGGCTTTCCAGACTAAAACTTGGTTTGAGCGGTGTGATTTGACAATTACCGTTGTGAGAATTATGATACTATTACGAAAACATCAGTTGAATCAAGTCTTACATGAGTTTACTGACCTAGTACTTCCGCATCTGTCTTCGTATACTGGAGATGACAGCTCACACTTGCCGTTTTTGAACTTTTCTTTCACCGGACAGCCAGGGACTGAAAGCTTCTGAATATCTGTGAATTACGCAAATTTATTTTTTCAGGGACCGCGCGTACATACATGTCTACGAGTTTGTCTGTGCTCGAGTGAGATGATTCACGTCTCTGATTCTAAATAAACAGTGTGCGCCGTTGGCGCCGATGGGAAGGGTCTTGGGGCCTAAAGTTGAGAGCGATATTTAAAGGTAGGCATACTTTAGCCTAAGGTAGGTGAGTCAATAGAACAGCAACACAGACAACACTTGGAATAAGTATGGTGGTCGGCACCGAGAATAGATTGATCAAAAGCCCAGTGTGTTGGTATTCTAACCCCACGTTCCTGCGTATTTTTCGTGTGGTTCAGCTTTTACCGTTAATTACGCTTCTTGGGCTACTAGGGTATGTGTCTAACGATGGCTTTTTCTATTCGTTGTATGGGCTTATCGCAACCAGCATTTCCACCTTCTATTTGATCGTCATTATGATAGTCCCAGTCCCCGCCAATCCCAATGCCACCGTGGTGTGTGTCTTTGAGGCAATCATGGCCGCCATTATGCTCGCGGCATTTATCGAGTTGGGTGTCGACAACGGTAGTGTTACCTGTGCTAATCAGAAGTACTATTTTAGCTCCAGCTATTACAATTATTATTGGAGTGCAGTGCTGCCATGCAGCGCCGCTCAGGCATCGATCGGGGTGTCAGCGTTAGCTTTTATTTTGTTTACCTGCTCTTCAGTTTTGTTTGGAGTAAACGTAGTGAAACCAATTAGGCGCGCTTTTGGTGTTCGTTTGGAGGGTGCTGATCTTACTGCGAGGCTACAGAGGGGTTCTAATCTTGCCATCAGCTGTGCCCCGATTCTTCACACTGACATCGAGGCTCTCGCACCTGACACTAATGTAGCGGTACCAGAGTCTACTTCGTATGCGATTGCAGAGCCTGCGATTGTGGAGTCTACGGCTGTTGAGCCTGTAGCTGTTGAGCCTGTGGTGCCAAAAGTGACCGCTTAAAATGTATTCGGGCAGATTTTTTTTGAGCTCACCTATTTAGCACTAATTAATAAGAGTCCTGCAAGATACAAACAGTGGGCACAATAACTTTTCATGCCGTCAAGAGTGTGTCATTAAGTAGCTCATACGTATGCTGTTTCCGGCTTTCTTTTAGCGTACGTGAGGTGAGGGAATGTGGGTCGGGTCTTGGGCAATCGAATGCAAGTACTAATATTTTACGTTATGGCATATCTGCGCCGGCAGTAGTAATCCTGTTAAACTGGTAATTTAGGACCTTCATGGTGTTTCAAATATATTCGTGTTGATATAGGGTATTCTCCTCATATCTCCATCGTCTTTCCAGATGTGAAGAGTAGAAATTGGACATAGAAATAAGACATTGGTACTAACATTTATTTGGAAGATAAGATTTGACAATTACAATTGTTCTGCCGGATAAGTTAACGCCTCGTCCTCCGTCCTCTGACCTAAACAATTGTCGACATCATCAACTCGACCTCAGCTTTCTTACTATCTATCTGATTAAATGCTGGCTTTGTCACTTTGTACTGTTCTGTCATAGTGTTCCCGTCATGATCAATTAAAATTGGTGCTATCTAGCAATTTGCACAAGTATCCTCGCACTTAGAGATTGTCCATGATAAAAGAGCCGCGGGCTCTTTCAATCGAGAGCGTGGGAAATAGGCATTTGAGCTGTATCATTCAAAAGCACAAGTGAGCTTTTCTTTTTACGGTTAACTTGATAGTGCCAGTATTTTATATCTTGAGGGAAACACCATATTATTTATATTTGAGGGTGCTTTTTTCAGATCATCTTATATTCTTTCTTGGTAACGTGTATTGATTGGTAAGATATTCACGAGTTAGTGAGCTGATACTGAAATGTGGGGCTACTGGAGAAAAAAAGGTATGAGTTGAACTATGCCTTACTACCGTTTAGGTAGCTTGTTTCTTCATTTACTCACAATGGCTCTTCTAATTCATTATATGACTCATCACAGCCAGAATTCGACATTCACTTTAATCGTTACTTCATTGGTCTTAGCCTCCCCCTTAATATCAATGCCCTTACGGTGAGAGCAGTTAATGCAGTTACGGTCGCCATTATGCTCGCAGACTTATTGTTGACAACAGAATTTTCACCCGTGATTGACGGAGGTACTATTTTAGTTCCGGGTACAACAATAACTATTACTATTGGAGTGCAGTGTCGTCGTGCAGCGGCGCTCAAGCATCGATTGAGATACCATAAGTAGTCTTCATTTTGTCTGCGTTTTGTCTGCAATTTAGTCAAATCTGTTCGAAGTGATCGTGGAGACGCCAATTGGATGCGCTGCTGAAACCGAGTTGGAAGTTGCCGACGCAGCCACGCAGTTGCAAAGCTGTTATTAATAACAGAGCATGTTTTTTAGCCCAAACGCACTGGAATAATGCTGCTAAATTGAGGGACTTTGAGCTTGCAGTGGTTGAGCCTACGGTAGCTAAGCCCACAGGTGCAGATCCTACTTTTCCAAGAAAAAACCGCATTAGGTTTTTGGGCGCGTAGAGATAGTTAGAGCTTTAATTTTTGTTTTGACGGTTCACACAACAAGAAGAGAAGCTTAATAATTCGTGAGGATGTCACGATCTCTTAAATTCGATTCATGGATTAACACTACCGCTTCACCATCACGCTCTATCAAACTGGGAGTGACGTGATCTTTAGCATGTGACCAGAAGTTTCGTTGTTAGTACATCTTTCAATCAACACGATAATTTAATATCATTATTACAGTCATGCAATGATTTACACTACTACAAAGAAGCCCTCGCGTCTTTCAGAATCGTTAATAGTGCGGCGTGTCTCAGTTTAGTCAAATAGGCACACCGCCAGGTGTTGAGAGATAAATTAATTAGAAGCTTAAGCTTACAACAGCTTTCGAAGAAAACAATGAATTACCTCCACATTTAAGTTCTTTACTATTTCATGCCAATTTGTGCCTCGACAGGCAAAGCGTGGGCTCGGACTGCTCTTCGATCGCATTATTAAGGAGCAGATGTACTTTAAAGTAATGATTTTGGTGAACATGTTTCATGCCATCAAGGAAGGGCGTATATGGTCTTCATTACACATCAGCTGTGAATTTATTGGAAAACTCTTCCAGTTTTTCACATGTATCCTAACGAGGAACCTTAATGAGGTCGTGTTACGTAAGATCTTTGGGATTCACGAAAATCCATCCAGATCTGCGTTCAGCCTTGTGGATCTCGTTAATTCTAGCTCACCGAAGTCGAAAAGCTTCAAAAAGTCAGCATATAACTCCTTGAATTTCACCAGCGATCCCGCTCGCTTGTATTCATGCCACGGGAATCGGGTTCGAATGAGTGATGGGCTACCCTACGTGTCTTTTGCATTGTGCATTAGCTTTCATCTTTTTGGCATTTAGTTGTTAAATAATGAACAATTGAGATTTTGTGAAAATAAGATCGTCTTCAAGTTGTTCTATTTAACAACAAAAGCTACCCAGAGTTTTCATTCTTTACCATCAATGCACTGGCAGGCAATACAATCTCAGAATTTACCTATCTCAAAACAAGGCCGACAGAATCCAAGCATAGTCCAGGGAGTTGACTTGAGAACTTCAAGCCCTTGATAGCTTGAGTTCGGCAGCAAGGCTAAGGAGATAATCTAAATTGAAAAAGTAGGATAAGTCCACATACACAACTTCTGTTCCAAAAATGGATTTTTGGTAGCAAGGTATTGAATTTTTGGCGTGAGATGCAGACTTCTCTTCCGCCCAGAAGGTTTACTTTGACCAATGGTGTCTGTGTTTTTTTTCCGTCTCGATTATTGCACCTCTTTTTTCTACTTGGCATAAGAACGCCAAGATGTAGAACTACCTCAGCAAACACAGGCAAAATTCAGGGTGCAGTTTGTGGCATAATCGGAGCGTAAGAGGAACCTTTTTAGGGTCTTGGCCAAAATGCCTAGATCAGACACACGGAAAAATGTGTGGAATTGGAATTTGGAATGGAAATCAAAGCTTGGAAACACAAAAGTCCATAAGTTTCAGGGTGTTCATAGTAAACTGCACCTTATGCATGGTAAATTTTTCAGTTTTTTATCGGTTTGTGTTCTTTCTACCAAGCATCGTTTCTCTTAGCCATCCTTTCAAATCAATAGCCAGACCTTCCCTTGTAGCATAAAAGAATAGCTGAAATAGCTCCTGAAATTGTTCTTCCGTATGCTTCGGCTGTAAAACACTTGGTGAGAGACCCAGTTAAAGTATCCATAATGATCAAAGCCTTGGTGCTTCCGTTGAGCTTATTGATTTGTGTAGCCGCGGAGAGTGGTCCCAACCATCCGGCAAAGACTGTAAAGGAAGCGTCATGGCCAGACGTTGCTGTAACAGCTTGCGGTCGTGGTCTAAGTAGCTTCAGCTGGGGTTTTAACACAAGTTCCAAGGGCTATCCCGCCTTATGCAGTTACGAGCCGGCATTTGAAAGTATGGCTTACTGCGCGAACAATTTTCTAGCTAACAAGGGTTTATCAAAAGACTTTCTTCTAATTATTGAAAGCTTCAATACACTATGCTCTTATTATGTGGATGTGCCCCCAAGCTTTACAGATGAAACATTATGGTCTGCATTGGAAAACGGTACTTCTCACATTCAGACAAGTTTTAATGTTTCCGCCATCAACTACGCGCCTGTTGCTGCTAACGCCACATATGTCAACAACTATGCCACTGCTTACTACGCCTTCTTGAACAATATTGACAAAAGTAATATGTACGGAGCAGCTATTTGCCTTTACTTTCTTGGCATTTTTGTCTTGGCGGCTGCGATAAATTTTTTAAGGATTAACGGATTTCATAAACCACTCCTAAAGAAAGGCTTCGTTAATTACTTCAGATCACACATTACCATTCCAGCAGTTTACCACAGGCATGCTCAAGAATTTAGTTATTTCAAAGTTATAACTGGGTTGATACCAACCAGGTTAGAGGCGATACTTGTCGTTGGCTATGTCATCCTCCACACTGTGTTGATTGCAGTGGATTATGGGTTCGACTCACCCAATCTACTTTTTTCGCCCAAAAAAGCTCAAATTGCTAGGTTTGTCGCTGACCGTACTGGTATTATGGCATTCGCACATTTTCCGCTAATTGTGCTCTTTGCTACCAGAAACAACTTTTTTCAGTGGATTACCGGGTTGCATTATACTACTTTCATAGTGTTCCACAAATGGGTTTCCCGTATGATGTTTCTCGACGCTGTGATACACGGCGCTGCTTATACACACTACACTATTATTTATAAGACGTGGAAGGAGTCCCGCGAAGAGATCTATTGGGAATTTGGGGTTGCAGCAATTATTTTTGCAGGGCTAATGATACTCTACGCGTTCTATTTTTTCAGAAAGAACTATTACGAGGCCTTCTTGTACACCCATATTCTGTTTGGTGCTCTATTTTTCTACAGTTGCTGGGAGCACGTCTGCCAACTAGGGTGGACCGAATGGTTATATGCTGCGATTGCGCTGTGGACTGTCGACAGAATTGTGAGAGTTTTAAGAATAGTTGCTTTTGGATTCCCGGAAGCTACTTTCCGCCTCCTCGAGGATGATTTAGTGAGATTGAGTATTCCAAAAGTGAGTAAAATATGGCGGGCAAAACCAGGCCAGTATGCGTTTATTTATTTTTGGCACCCACGATACTTTTGGCAATCGCACCCATTCACTGTCATGGACTCCATTTTGAATGAGAACGAGGTAATTATAGTCTTTAAACCAAAAGAGGGCTTGACTAGGTATTTGAAGAATCAAGTCAAAAAGTCAGGCGGTACGATGAAAATGCGTGTGTCGTTGGAGGGACCTTATGGGTGTGGTTCATCTTTGCAACATTATGATAACGTATTGTTATTGGTTGGTGGTGCTGGTCTCCCAGGGCCGCTGTGTCATGCCGTAAAACTTGCAGGGAAGTACAGTGAGCAAGGCAAGAAAATAAATTTGGTGCTTTCAATGAGAGGCCCCTCTGTGTTAAATGCATTCAGCCCGGAGTTCGAAAAGCTCGCGGAATTTGGAGTGAACGTCGAGCTTTACGATACTAGTTTATCTAGTTTGGATGCACCTTGTCGAGATCAGGCTTCTGATGCTGTGGAGTCAGATAAAGAGGAGGAAAAGGTCCAGACAAACCAAGTTTCATCTCCTTGTGGCAACATCGAGTTTACGGCAGTAGCTGGTAGACCGCCATTGGATGTCATTTTAGAGAGAGCGGTGAATGGATCTTCAAGTCTGGCAGTTTTCTGCTGCGGACCTTCATCACTAGTGGACACTGCTAGAAACCTCACTGCATGCTATGTTCGAAAGTATCCGACAAAACCGATCGAATATTTTGAGGATTACCAGAGCTGGTAGTAAACACGTTCTTAGCGTTTGAGCATCAACAATTTACCGTGAGTGTGCGGTATCCTCCAATGTTAATCCCTCGAGCCCGCAATTAGTCACAGATGCTCAGGTATTCGTTCATAAGCTTTGCGGTATACCAGGATGGCCTCCCGAGCTCACACAAGTGCCCTAAAGATCTTTTGATCCATTTACAAGAAGCGAACGACTTAGCGGCGTCAAATATGTCTCATTCTGGCATCTTTCAACCAGCTATAACAGGGAACACTCTGATAATATCATAAAATGGCATTGTTCCAGATTTAGTGCTGCTGTATATATCTGAACACTGTACTTCGCTTTCAATTTTTGGCGTTTACGAGTTGAGAATATAAAGAACTTTGCTCAAAGACTAACATATCGTATTCCCCAAAAAAAGTACTACTATGCACACGCACAAAGATTTAAGAGTGTTCCAAGAGACTTAGATTGCAAAACCTTGGGACAAAAGCGCTATAACGAGTATTTTAACAATTTTAACAATTTTATCTTAATTCTATAATTTGACGATCGAATTCCGTACTAGAGTTTCGTTTTATCCAAAACTTAACACGTTTTAATCGAATGCAAAAAAATGTTCCCAAATAACTCTTACACGTTACTTGCCGGGCTTCTGTTCTTGGTGTTCATCACCTGTGTATATGTAAGTGCCAAGGGTTTTCTCGATGTGTAGCATTGGACTCGTGCAAAGGCGTCAGTTAATTGTGAACACAAACGTTGACATGTGAGGACAACGTCACAGAAACAACAAAAGGAAGCGTGTCGTTTATCTATCGACAAGCCATAATACAGTATTTCTCTTGCGCTCCTCATGTCTCTTCGGTAATATTATTATTCAAACCCGAAGGGTTTGCTTTGAGGCGTTATTGCTACACCAAGTTGAGATGAAAGGTCATCAAATCTTCTCTCGCTGAAGGTAATACATGATAAATTGAACTGAAAAGCATCTCTAGCCTTTAAATTCATACGACTGATACTCGTAAGCACGCCGCCACCTTTTTGGAGTGGCGTCTTCTTATCTTGCCCCGCCCTCGAACATTGTCTGTCTACGAAATCAAACGCATGGAAACTTCGAAAGCCGCAAAAGTCGCGCCATTGACTGGCAACGACCGAAGCATCGTGGGCAGAAATCCCTTTGAGAAAGCCATCATACCTCGCTCCTTGTAGATAGACTTGGCTACGGTGAACACGTTGTCACCGTAAAATGGAGCCTTCAGCTTATCTGCCTGCATGACTGATTTTACAACGTCGAAAGGGTATGTCATAGCCCAGAAGAAGGCACCTGAAAAAGCGCCGTAAATGCAAACTTTCCAAGCAGGAATATCTTGACGTGATATACCATAATGAGCCTGGTTCGCAATCAAAGCCTCGTATGTTAAGAAGTAAATGCCAAATCCGTGAGATGTTCTCAAAGTGGTAGCCGTGAAACCGCGCATGAGTGCGTTTTCTTTTAAGAGTTTTCTGGCACAGTCGAGTGAACTTCGGTATAAGCCTTCGCCTCTCGTGTTCTTCTGAATCTGCATTCTGATACGAACATGCTCAATGGGAGTAGCCAAAAACGCATTGGCAGTTCCACTCACAAACCCGCAGGCGTAGTATTGTCTTAACAACAAATGGGCGTCAGGGTCTCCGCTGCTTTTGCGAAAGTACCTTTTCATGGCCTCGTTAACACCGAATTGACATGAAACACATGCTCCCACACCAATCAAAGGCACAGCTGTACCTTTATAGAAAGCCATAACTCCTTCATTTTTCACGAGACTTCTAATTGTCTCCAAAGCTGTAGATGGTACTGGCGACGTCTGGAGTCGGACCTTAACTATGTCAAACGGTTGACCGACAATAACTTGAGCAATACCACCAACCGTACCGCAGAAAATGTCTTTGAAGGCTTGCTTGGGATCATGAAATTCGATCAGATCGTCGACAATCTGAGGCGACGTCAATTCATCAGCCATTCTTTCGCACAGGAGTTGAAGTATTTGGTCTATATCGCAAAACGAAGTGGGACGTCGACAAGTTTTGATGGTCCTATATAGCTCTTTCCCGCATCTCGCTTTTGTTCTTTCAACAATCATGTGTGTGGCTAATCGCCATTACATGCCGTCGCGCTTCAATCTCCGACAGTAAGCTATAAAAGTTGTTATTATGAAAGTTCTTCGACGATAACGCCTACAGCTTGAGCGGGTACGATATTCAAAGCCAAGCGCCTGAGACTTAATCCGCCCCGATCAGACTACAACCACGATTTGCTTTCGTTAATGAGACATTTCAAAAAGTAGGTGTTCGTTCTCTCCCTTCACGCAACCTACCACGAATGTGACTATAATGTGCTTGCCGCGGCTAATGAAGCTTGTGCATGTGACCGTTGTCTCGATTATAAACATCAGGAAGATTGGCCTTCGTTGCAGTTCAAACTTGTTAACTGTTGGCCGACATCTCTTCACGCCTCCAGCTTCCGCATTGGTAAAGAAAGCTTATCAAACACTTTTTCAGGCGTGGAAAAGCCACGATTGGCATTCGAAAAAGATATATATTTTTTGATGCCGGCATCAAAAAATATAACATTCGAGCCGCGATGAGGTGGAAAGATTCGGCTTGAAAAATAGTTAGGAACTGGAACCCCGAGCTGTTCATAGTTTCGTTCTCCTTTCGGTAACACGTAAGGATTATTCGGTGAAACTGTGGCTTTTTCTTTTTTATCTTCGTTGTAACTCTGTTAAAAATCACAACGTCAGTAGACATGTCAAAGTCGTAACCTGGCAAACGATTCACTCAAGCCTGGACCAAATATGCACGACATGGCTAAAGGCACCAATCAATGCGAACAGCCGACCTATAGACTTATCGCGATCGGCCCGCTTGCCGATACTGTTTGACCACAGAGAAAAGATGACAGGTGCCGGCAAGCGAGATGAAAGAACCTGTACATTAAAAAACATAGTAAGCTGAAAAGATGAACCTGAAAAGCAGAAATTGCTCACAAATCTCTTAATTTGCGGCTTTGCCATACAAACTGCAATGCTCGCTAAATATCAACGTTGGCCGCTTGCAAAACATCAATAACATAAGTCTTGAGGGGTTGAAATTTGCTCTCCCTGCGGCACCCAAACCGTGCTATCGAACCTATTAATCTGAAAATAAATCAAATAAAACTATTAAGTAGTCTCAAATGGCAAACGCTAGATCCAAATTTCGTTCCTCCAAAATTTCCCACCAGCTCTTTTTGTCTTTCCAGCAATCCTCCATCACCATCTTTGCCTGTTGGGCACTTGCCATACCGTTCTGTAGCAAAATCTCGATGTGATCCATATATATCTTGCGAGATGACACAAGATCCCTACTTACAAGTTCACAGCCGCAGCAGAAAAGGCAAAATGTGATACAAGATTCTGCCGAAGAATTGAAGGGTATCCATTCCTCTATTAGTTTCGTAACACGTATCAAGAGGTCCTTTATCACTGGACTTCCCTGCGGAATGCCTATGACCCTTCTCTTTAATTGCAGTAAACCCGTCAAACCAAAGATCATATTAATCGCCCTCAATGTTTTATAAGTCTTGTAGTTAGAATCTGTACTGGAGCAGAGCTTAGTTAGACGAAGGCGACCATCAAATACATCTTTCTCAATCGCATCTCTCTCAACTTCTGACTCATCTAGGTAAGTCAAAATATTGTGGTCCAAGTCCAACGCCTTCAGCAGTAGTGGATGTAGTTCAATTAAATCTGCCAGCGATTCCTTTTGGTCTACCAAGTCAGCGATATCTGCTAGTAACGATAAGACTTTGGTTTCCATACCAGTAAGATAATCTATATCTTCCCAGCGTAGCCGGCGCTCATATATTTCTGATTTACGTTCTTCGTAATCAAACTCGTAGGTGAGTGATCTCAACGATTCTTTTGCTACATTTCTTTTAACCGAAGAGAGGGATGCAATAATATTCAAATAAGAAAACCAGTGATCCAAAAAAGTGTCGGCGTCTGTGGCAGTGGCTGTGGATGTAACACGGAAGGAGCTTTTGTGCCCTGTCCTTAATTTATCTAGTATCAGCCCTCGGGCACCAAAAATATGAGCTCTCCATTTATTTCTGGTATCGCTAAAGAAAATATCAAACCCTGCAAGCATGAGAATAGTAGCTAGTGTAGTGTTATCACGCCTTTGTTTTATGTCCGTTAAATGAGCGAATAGTTGCACAAAAGTTTGACTTAGAAGCGCATTTGCCACTGATTCATCTCTCCTCGTAATATCTAATGGTGCGATATGGGATCCTTGCTGGTAATCCATAATTTGCTTCCTGTGATTGGCCCCAAATGCCAAGATCAAATTCATTAGGGTTGAACTTTGCATTGCCATTTGTGGAAGGATGGTGTGGAAAGGATTTGTTCGATATTCATAGTGAGGAGTAGGCACTAATAAATGTGATGTTTCCCGAAGATAAAAACCAAAAAGCTCCGAATAGTAGACAGAGTTGAAGAGAATATTCGGCGAAGGATGGGCAAGGCGCAGGGCGTTCAAATTAAAATACTTGTGATCAAAATTAACCTGATCTTTTAAAAGATCGCTGACTAGTAGAGGTGACCCCCGTGGTAAGCTGCCAATAACCATGTCTGCCAACTCTGTGTCTCGTTCCTGATCAGGATCTTCAATGGCACTGACATTGTCACAAACAAGCCCAAGGGCAGGCGAAGTGACGAAATTTGACAAAGTGGATGATCCAAGATTCGGCACATGCGATGGTGCCAGCAACATCCGGCCGCTTTCGAGAGGCAAGCTTTCTATATTAGCGCCAACACCCTTTATTGATTTTTTAACTCTTTTCTTTGCCATTACCAGTATACCGTCGACAAAAGAGGCATCTGGAAGGTCTTTCGTGATTTTTTGTGAGTTTTTGAGAGGCTTTTTACCCCATTTCAGCTGTATTGAGTAATCGCAGTAGTCATGTCCTCTTCTTATGCAGTTTTCGCATTTTGGTTTAGTCTCATCACATTTTATCCTAGCCTTCTTACAGCAATTGCAACCAGACCGTGATCTTTGTTTACGATTGAAGGACATGCTAGGTGCATCATCTTAGTGCTTTCATGCACAAGATCTTAGGTAGCAGTTTTGAAAAGGTCAAAAAGTCAAATATAATTAATAGTCTTTTTGGGTCTCAAGCTACGAAACCGAAATTCAATTTTTCAGATCTCAATCGCTAACAAATAAACTTGTTTACTAATGAGGAGTTGGTCATATATGATGATGATTCGATCAAACTTGCTTGATAGCGAAACAAGAATTGTATTCCTGATGTCCTCTCGAAATAGACTGCTGTAATCAACACATCTTGTTGTTTCACACAAGAAATGGCGATTATTATCTATGTGAAAGTTGCTTCTTCTCACAAGTCTTTGTGAAGTACCTAGTGTTTCTTTACTCGAGGTAAGGGACCTGGCTTTCTAATAACCTTACTTGAGAGAAGATGCTCTCTCAGATTTAGGCTATATAAAAGCGACATCCTTTCAAATGTTACGGCCGTAATTTCGGCTGTAAAACTATAAGAAACTCCGATCATTAATCACTGATTGTTTCTAAAGGCCCGCACTTATTATCCTTTGCTTCGTATATATAAATCATCAACAGCTGCAATAATACCAATGCCGAGTCGACTCTGATGTTACCGTCTTCAAAAGGAGGTGCATCAGCTTAATTCAGCAAATGGGCGCTCTTCAACAGAACACTAGTGTTGAAAATGAACACAATTCAAACAAAGATTTAACACTCAATGAAAAAGAGGCTATTGCTGGAAGCTCGTCTGTATATACAAGATTTGGGCACAAAGCAAAGATTTTCCTCTCAATAGTATGTGCTTCTTGCGGCCTATTTTCAGCGATAGCCGCTCCAATCTACTATCCCGCCCTCGATACCATAAAGAATGAGTTCAACGTGAGCGGGGAGCTTCTGAATATATCTGTTGTGGTATATTTCATATTTCAGGGTATTTCCCCTTCAATCATGGGAGGTTTTGCCGATTCTTGGGGCAGGCGACCCATCATCGTTTGGTCGCTTGCAGTCTACTTCGCTGCTTGTGTTGGCTTAGCGAAATCAACAAACTACGGTCAGATATTGGGACTGAGATGTCTTCAAAGTGCTGGAATATCTCCAGTGATAGCTTTGAATAGTGGTCTCATGGGAGATGTGACTCTTAGACATGAAAGAGGCGGCTACATCGGGCTGACGTCTGGAATACAGCTTGTTGGCTCAGCCTTTGGAGCTATTATTGGTGCTGGACTAATTTCGAGATGGGACTGGAGAGCTGTTTTTTGGTTTTTGGCAATAGGCTCGGGAATAAGTCTCATTATCAGCACCCTTTTAATGCCCGAGACAAATCGCAGTCTCGCGGGAAATGGTTCCATACTTCCAAAAAGCTTGACTAGTCGAGCACCAATACTGGCTCTTCCCTTTGTTAGAAAATATTTGCACATTGAAAACCCGGATTTAGATACCTTGAAACCACGTCGCAAAGTCAACTTTCTTGCCCCTTTCACAGTCTTAGCTGTTCCGAGCGTCCTATTAGTGTTATGTGTGGCTGGAATGCAGTTTACAATTTACAGCTGTCAACTAACAGTCCTTTCCAGCAGTCTTGAAAACTACTACGGGCTAAGTGTGGGAAAAGTGGGGTTGTGCTACCTCCCAAGTGGAATCTGCACCCTTATAGGCATTGTTAGCAGCGGAAGAATTTTGAATTGGAACTACGAAAGACGGTTTGCTCAGCATGAAAAGACGATTGAGGAAATGAAAACCAAATTAATGGAAAAGTACTACGGCGATGTCAGCCTCGTTGATGCAGCCATTTTAACAAAAAACAAGTACGGCTTCAATATATATCGTGCCAGATTGGAAGTGGGGGTCGTGCCTATGCTTTTCAGTTTTGGAGGGTTTATAGCTTTCGGGTGGTGCCTTGGAGCAAGAACGCACCTTGCTTTAGTACTGTTTTTCAGTGGTTTTTCATCACTATGCTCAAGCGGAATTATTGCTTGCACTACAACATTAATGGTAGACTTGCATCCTGAAAAAACGTCAAGTGCAGCTGCCTGTTTGAATTTGTGTCGGTGCCTATTAGCTGCGGCTTTCATAGCAGCTTTGGACGCAATGATAGACAAAATGACTATAGGTGGAGCCTTCACATTCATGGTTGGAGTTTCTGCTTTGCTTACTATTGGCATGGTATTTGTGGTAAGCTCAGCAATGACCACAGACACGGCTGACGAGCTTACTTAGTGATGCACTGAAATACGGACCGTGACCTACAAGTCCCACATTAGTTTCTCATATTCAATTAATCATTTTAAAACCACCAAAAGTGCTGACAGTATGTCCATTTCTCCCGTAGTCCATTATTAACATGTTATTGGACATTTCCAGAATAGTCAGAAGTTCGGGGTCAAATGCTTCATACTTTGAGAACTCAGTCATCTACAAATTTATCTATACTATAAACAATGGCACAAGGATAGCCTTTATGACCGGATGTTGCCTAAACGGTGCTGAAACGCCCAAACCAGTGAAGTAGGTCCAGTAGCACCTTCTCTTTGGCGTATTTGACGTCCGGGTCGCTCATATCTCCTCTGACTGCGAATCCATGCCCGACACTGCCGAAGAGGTCCAACTGGAATACGGCACCAGATTCCATCAATACTTTTTCAACCTCGTGCCTTGCTTCCGTGGTGAAAAGAGAATCGTGTTGGGCGGCTGAGATCAGTAATGGGTTTTTGCCGATAACCTTAAACTGTTCGTTCTCGACGAGGGTAGGGTGTGCGATGGCAGCTGCGTGAGCAAGAGGCGCATCTGCCTTGATATAGTCCAATGCATACTTTCCGCCGAAACAATGGCCGATCACACCCAAAAATTTAGGGTTCAGTTTCTCTTTCAAGGGCTTCATGAAGCTATCCACGATTGGCCTAGTGACTTCAGGTCTGTGTTTATGGATGTATTCTGGAATGTTGACGTTCGCATTGATTTCAACGGCATCGTCGAACAGAATATCCGGAATGAAGACTCTGTATCCGGCCTTTCCGAACTGATCTGCGATTAGCCTATTGTTGACAAGGTTGATTCCGAATATATCTGACAAGATAACAATGATATTCTCGTTCGAGCTCGAACCTGTGACGTAAGTTCTCAGGCCAAACAGTTCTTGAATTTCACCAATTGATTCTCCCTCGTGAAGGGCTCCACTAAAACAACACTTGGACATCTTTGAATGAGGCGATTGTATAGTTTTCTTTAAACAATGCAATTTTAATCTTATCTGCTTAATTCCAGTTCGATATTTCTGCTATATATACTTGGAAAATCTCTATTTCGTCTTGGCGAAATCGGCTGGAGATAAAAAAAAACTACAAGATTTACGCCCGCAGAGCTGTTAGTATTAATAATGCAATGCAAAACAAAGTCATGATGAGTTGCGTCTCAAACTTCGGATTCGAAGGATAATCATTTAGTAATCAGTTCTGATGGCCTTCGAGTAAGTTTTTTAAGAGCATCTCTGCGCTCTGTGAAAAAATTTGTTCTATTGTTCATGTGGGTTCCGAAGACAATGACAATTAATCAACAAAAATCATCTATCTGGACGGTCACTCAATGTTGATATGTCATCACAGATGCCGCTGGTGGTCCGTACTTTGTAAGCTCGGTAATTTAATATATGGGTTCGTAGTCTATGCCCACTTGCCCAAGACAGCCATCAAGCCAGCGCCCGTTAAAGTACAGAGGATCATGTATGCTAGTTTCTTCAGGTCCTTGGTGCGGTTAGGATCGAAGATGAAATCCTTTGCCAGTAGTTCGACTAGACCAGTGTATATTAAAATCCCAGCGGAAATAGCGTCTAGCACGCCGGCGATGATGCTCATGGTGAAAGAATGGCCATTGTACTTCTTTCTGACACCTAGACCAATGGCAATTGCGATCGGAGTAGTGACACCGTAGACCAGACAGAGTGCAAAAGGCCACCATCTCTTGCCCTTGGGGAATGTGATCGAAATCAATCTAGCGCCAAGTCCGAGACCTTCAAAAGCCTGGTGGAATACGATCACAGGATAGAGCACGGAAAACTCGCTACCGGTGGTACCCAGATCCAGACCGATCATGACCGAGTGGAAGATAATACCAAACTCCATGACAAGAAATGCTCCCAGTTGACTTTCAAAAGGTTTGACACCGATTTCGGAGCTCACACCAGATGCCAGATCGGAGTGCTCAGCGGAGGATTTCGTGATGCTGTCAGCGGCGCCATCTCGCTTGTAGCTGGACTCTAGATCATTTACAGGTGGAGCGACATTACCGGCATTGGCACGAGCAGTAATAGCTGCTTCGATGTGATCGGCCTGCGCGTGCGAAACGCCGAACCGTCTTTCAACGTAAACATCGCTCAAGAGGTCCACGAGGAAGATAACAAATAACGTAGTCAACACTATCCCCGAGCACCATGTGTAGTCTGCCCAATGGCCAGTCATACCAACACAACTATTGCTCCCGATCGACATGTAAGAGTGCTCCATCAAGTGAATGAAAGCTGTAGCAACAATGACACCAGTACCGAAATAACGCGCAAACAGATATGCATACCTGGGCACATGCAAGCCCTTGATTCTGGTCAGGATCAGTGGCAGCAGGGTAAAACCGCTACTCACAAAGAAAACCACAAACACCGAGGAGATACGCGCCTTCAAACTACCACTGTACTCGTTTTCGCCAAAATACACATGGTCCATCGCGCACTTCTTCCAAGAGTTTGGTACGCTGTCGTCCCAGATGGTCACCTCATTCGGGTTCCACTGAGCCCACCAGGCACCACTCGCTGCCGCGGACGTGATATCCACGTCGCTGCCACCTTCGTGCGAATGACTGTGACGCTGCACAAAACTGTCTAGAACGCTCATTCTGAAGTAAAATATTTCAGCTTGCTGGTTCTCACAAATAAGCTAACCCATTCCATTCTATTCCACCAGTTCTAGCCAATTTTGCTCTAGTTTTATACACAGTTTCAACAAAGCATAGTGCCTAACCCTCAGGGTCCACATACAACTGTCATCTAGCTGCCCATTTTTTCTGTTTCCTACTAAAATCGTTAGTTCTGTAGTGGCTCCACGATCTTGACAAGGTCAACCTTCAGGGTCCTGAAAAGCTTTGCGAGAGTCCTTTGCCAGAGCCCTGCATTAATTAAATAATTAGATGAGAAAATGCTCCGCACATACTACTCACAACCGTGACAAAAGCCTGTATCTTCTTCAGAAAGACTCGAGGTTTTCATCTCATGCGCTGCACCCTGCATATTACTACGCATTTCCTCGAGGTGTGCGCCAGATAACCATCACAGTGAGAAAAAAAACAGAATGCAAATACTCAAAAATCGAGTTTTTAACCTGGGAGAGCGGGTACTTGGGAGCAGCTGCTTTGGGGCTGATACTTTGGGGGCTCGTATCTAAGAGCAGCATTATTGCATAGTGTTGATTTTAGACGCTATTCGAAGAGCTTTGTGAGCATAGCTGTATTTAATAAGGTTTTCTGGGGAAGTGGACTGACTCTACTCAACTCATAAGGATATGCGGTTATAGATATTTTTATTTAATAGAGAATAGTGGGGTCCAAATGGTGCTGTCTTACTTTCTCTCGCCGACCTGACGATAAGTAGTTCGAAATCCTTTTTTCTGTTTCTTGAATGCACTTGAACGAATAAATAGACCAGAGGAAAAGATAAAGCTTTTTCAATTTGACGAGGGTGCCTGAAGCTCGTCTTTTCTGGGGTATTCTTGCAACATAAAGTCGGCTAAAGACTTGCCCTTCTCACCGCACTCTTTTGGCAAGTTTTCGGCCACGCCCTCGACGTTGATGGGATGCTGGTTCTGATGCGCCTTAAACTGCGTCTCCATCCTCTCAATTTCAATCTCGACGCCGACAATGTTGTTCATTTTGGCATCGATGAGGTCGGCTGGGGCGTCCGAAACAGCCCATTTTTCTTCGTACTCATCGCCGTCAGGCCTCTTGCCCTCTTCCTGGTCCGTTACGGCGTTCAGCATTTCCAGGAGCCACCTTTTGTCACCCCTTATTACCTTGGCTTTCCCATATATGTGGACTGCGCTGTAGTCATAGGTTGGAACAAACTTGTGAGTCTTCTTCTTCAATGGGTACCATGAAGGCGAAATGTAGTTGGAAGGACCTTGGAATACGACCATGCAGTCGTTCTGCTTCTCCAAAAAGTCAGCATGCTTGTTGTTCTTCGCTATATGTGTCACAAGACGGCTCTTCCCTTCGTCTGTCTTAACAATTACAAATGGGACGTGAGTGGCACACATGCTAGCGAACGCGTCTGCGGGCTTGAAGTAACCCAGAATACCATTAGATTCGGGAGCGTAGCTAAATAAAACTCCCAAAGGATTTTCCCTGATTAAATCGAATTGCTTTGCTTCGTCCGTGACTTCAAAAGCCTTAGGGATGTACATTGCAATGCACGAGGATTGGCAGATGCTGAAAGTAAGTTCAACATTGTACTGATGGAGACCTTAGAGGCATGTTTTCCATTTATAGTGAAAGCAAGAGGCTATCTCTGAGTCAGATTGAGTGGCAATCATTTTTCGGAAATATGTGGCGGAAGACTGCAATCAAACAAAGTAAAAAACGAACCTTTAGATAAGAAGGTGCAGCCAAGAGGTTACTCAGATCTCAAAACAAATCTCCTAACACTACATTTGAAGACGTACTATCTTTTATCGCTCGAAATTTAGAGATGTCCAAAAGTGCAAGAGGAAGATCGTGTACGGTGAACAGCCGCACAGAATTGTAATAAACATAGCTTCACGAGTTTGTCAAGCGATTGAGTCCCCACAGCTATTTCAATATCAACATTACTTGATTTTAGCAGATATAGATAATATTCAAACTTGGAAAAATTTCAAATTACCTTTCGCATCTTAGCTCATCGCAGCTCATCGCGACAAAATGAAAGGCCAAGTTAGCAGTGACGATGACTACTCGTCCGATGAGGAAACAAACCAGGTATTAATAGCAACTAAGAAAACTACTGGGAAGGATGCTTTCGATCAAACAGAGGAATCTGGAGACGAAAATAGCGATGAAGAACATCAAGCTTTAGATTCAGAGGATGAGGAGGTTGAGGAGGAGAAAGAAGATACCAAAGAAGCCGCAGATGAACAAGACGATCAAGAACATACATCAAACGAGGAAATTGATGAAGACCTTGACCTGGAGCGGCTAAAGAAGGAAAGACTCGAAAGACTAAAGAAAATGCGGACGGTGAATAAGGGCAAACATAAAACCGGTGTCGTGTACCTTTCCAAGATCCCTCCATACATGAAGCCAGCAAAGATGAGACAGCTGCTCTCGCGGTTTGGAGACGTAGACCGGCTGTTTCTGAAACGCGAGGACGACCAGAAACACAAAACTAGAGTTCGCGGTGGAGGAAACAAGAAAGTGATGTTCGAAGAAGGCTGGATCGAGTTTGTGCGCAAGAAGGACGCCAAGCTGTGCGCGGAAACTATGAACGGAAACATCATCGGCGGGAAAAAAGGTAATTTCTACCACGACGACGTGATGAACGTGAAGTATCTGTCAGGCTTCAAGTGGGCAGATCTGACAGAGCAGATTGCTCGCGAAAATGACATTCGTCAAACCAAGCTTCAACTAGAAGTATCACAGGCCAACAAGATGAACGCAGAGTTCATTCGGAACGTCGAAAGAAGCAAGATGCTTGACAACATACGGGCATCGAAAAAGCGCAACAGTCCGGCAACAAAAGGGGAAGCCGCACAGGATGGAAAAAGCGACCACGTATTCAAACAGCGCAGGGTGACTACCAACCGCGCAGCAGGCCCTGAAAAGCATAAACAGGCCTCATCTGAGCGTTTAAATACCGTCATAGAAAACTTGTTTTGAAGTAGCAACAAATATAGGTGGTTATAAAATCTCGATTCTAACGCTTCTCGAGCTAAGACTACATTTCATGGCAAACGTGGCCTGCCACATGCGCTACTTGAGCTCAAGTAGATGGTGATGCCCTTTAGCAGTCTCGAGACCTGTCGTACATCACGACTTTCTCAAGCGGTTATTTTTCCATTACATAGAAAATTTTTCAAGCTCATCGCATCTCATCTCATCTCCCTCTCTAATAGAACTGTGAAGATATACAGTTTTTGTTTAGACAAGATCTTTAGTGTGCCTCAAGTAGCCTTGCGACCACAATTAGGACTCGACAAGCGTGCAGAATACGACTAGAGTTGTCAGTCAAGCTATACAATGGGTACCGCTAAGAAAGAGAAACAAAGACGTATTCGTCAGAACGACACCAAAGATGGAAATTTGCGAGTGAAAGGTGAGAATTTCTACCGTGATGGTAAGCGTGTGCAGTTTCTGAATATGTACAGAGATGGATCGTCTATTCGGAACAAGAAGGGTGATCTTATTCGTGCAGCTCCGCTTCAAAGCGCAGATGTTCCCACAGCCAGAGTCCAGCCAGACCGTCGTTGGTTCGGCAACACGAGAGTAATTTCGCAAGATGCTTTATCGCATTTCCGCGAAGCGCTCGGTGACACAGAGAAAAATAATTATCAGGTGCTATTGCGCCGTAATAAGCTGCCAATGTCGCTCTTGGAAGAAAAGGATACACTGGAATCTCCGCAACCGAAGATTTTGGAAACCGAAACTTTCAAACAAACGTTCGGTCCCAAGTCCCAGCGGAAAAAGCCACGTGTAGCAGCGTCGAGTCTTGAGGATTTGGCGGATTCTACTGCTCAAAACAACAAAGCATATGAAGAAAAGCAGGAGCTGGATTCAACGCTTGGGCTAATGGGCCAAAACGAAGAGGAGGGTGATGGTTGGTCGCAGACTGCAAAGGAGGCTATTTTCAATAAAGGCCAATCCAAGCGTATCTGGAACGAACTTTACAAGGTTATCGATTCTTCTGACGTAGTCATTCACGTTTTAGATGCCAGAGATCCATTAGGAACCAGATGCAAATCTGTGGAAGAGTACATGCGGAAAGAGACGCCGCACAAGCATCTAATATTCGTGCTGAATAAGTGCGATTTAGTACCCACATGGGTAGCGGTATGTTAAAGATCGAAAGGGAAGCTTCTAAAAGCTTTCCAATGGTGGGTAAAGGTCGGGTTTGTTTTGTTTTTTTGTTTTTTTTGTCATTTAGGCGAGAACTAGAATTTCGGGGAATATAACAGGGTTTGATTTGTTCACAACACCAAAACTTCTAGTCAGGATGTTTTCCATTCCTTTGAGAATACTTAAAAATACGAAGATGTCTGTTAAAGTTTTGGAAGATTAATACTACTCGCTTTCTTCTGTAGTGTCCGTTTTGGACACATTTTGAAGAATTAGGTGGGTAATTTTTGTTTTGAAAATATGCCACCGCTTTCAGAGTAGCGAGGGCTCTAAGAGTTGAGTTTGGGATTGCAACACCAGATTGGAGATTCTTCTTCCATTTGGCATGCAACAGGTTCCCACACTCGTAGTAAGAGGCCTCACAATTTGTCTTCCTTGGAAAAACTTGAAATTCTAGAATCAACAAAAAAGACATTCATTGCGACACAACGCAACTTTTTTCCTTTTATTGATTAATACTAACATTTTCAAATAGGCTGCGTGGGTAAAGCATCTGTCAAAAAATCGTCCAACGTTGGCGTTTCATGCATCAATCACAAACTCATTTGGTAAGGGTTCTTTGATTCAGTTATTGCGTCAATTTTCTCAACTTCACAAAGACAGAAAACAAATTTCTATCGGGTTCATTGGTTATCCAAACACTGGTAAGTCATCCATCATAAACACGTTGCGTAAGAAAAAGGTTTGTCCAGTCGCTCCCATCCCTGGTGAGACTAAGGTGTGGCAATATATTACATTGATGAAGAAAATTTTCCTAATCGATTGTCCCGGTATTGTGCCGCCCTCCGCTAAAGATACAGAAGAAGACATTCTGTTTAGAGGCGTTGTTAGAGTGGAACATGTAACCCACCCAGAACAGTACATTCCTGGTGTTCTGCGAAGATGTGAAAGAAAGCATTTGGAGAGAACGTACGAAATTTCGGGCTGGAAGGATTCCGTTGATTTTGTCGAAATGCTTGCCAGAAAAATGGGAAGATTGCTGAAGGGCGGTGAGCCGGATGAATCGGGTGTTTCAAAGCAAGTGTTGAATGACTTTAATAGAGGTAAGATTCCTTGGTTTACGGCTCCTCCTGCAAAAGAAGAGAAAGAGGAAGAGAAGTCCCCAAAGAGTGAAGAAGGGAAGAAGAGAAGTGCCGAGGAGGTCGAGGCCGAGGGCGAGCCTCAGGAAACAAAGAAAGTAAGCAATTAGAGTAACTGGGTTTTTCAAGCGGTGTTTTTTTAAGCATTTTTGTATAATATTCAATAGATTGGGGCACTCGAAGGCCGTCACAACAGTAAAGCGATATAAGCTTCCACAAAAGCTAGAATGCGGGTAGATAAATGTTAAAGTTTCTACATCTCAAATTACGCAAACGGATTTTGTATTGAAATGAGCTCTTCAGACAACAAAATCAATCCAGAAATCCCAGCGAGCACGAAGACACATCCCACAATGTATCATGAAGCCATGAGCCTCCAGGAAACCCTTTATCAGTAATGTTCACTTAAAAGCTACTCGAAATTGTACTCGAGTACATTATATATTGATTGCAACGAAAATTTACAATCACTATGTAGCATTATGATATCAGTATATTTCGATTGGAGCCAAAACAGTTTAACAACCAACTGCCACTCAATTTGAGATGCAGTCGGTCAACAGACAACTGCATGAAATGCCAATGGGCGACCATTTTTTTCCGCAGCAAAACCAGCAGCATCAACAACCTCCAGGAATAGGACCACAGCTATTTTCACCACAATTAATGCAAGCCCGTTTACAGCAACATCAACAACAGCAGCAGCAACAGGGTGCTTTGGTTCAAGATGTGCACGGCATGGATAAGAATCCGGGACTGCAGAATGTTTACTTACTGAAGCAAAAATTGGAAGCGGCAAATGCAGCATTTGGCCCACAACAAATTTCGCAATTACAGGCCCAGCCCCAGCAATTGCTGAACAATGGGCAGAATGCAATGTCTAGCGGCTTGGGTGCTGTTAGTGGGGTTCCTCCTGGTGTGAACATAATGCAACAAAACGCACCGAGTTTGGGCCCACCACCAGGCACCCTGGCACCACATTTAGTGTTAGGGGGATCTTTTGCACTGCCTCCCCCAAACCAGTTCATGGTACGCGATGTCTGGAGCAATAACCTGTATGCGGAGTTCGCTCAAATAAGAAAGCTAGTAGATCAATACAACGTTGTATCAATCAGCACGGAGTTCGTAGGAACAATCGCAAGGCCAATGGGAAATTTCCGCTCGAAAAACGACTATCACTATCAGACTATGCGTTCTAATGTGGATCTACTGAACCCTGTTCAAGTAGGTATCTCGATCAGTGATGCCCGCGGTAATAAACCAGAAACCGGACCTTCAACTTGGCAGTTCAATTTTCATTTCGATGTCACCCAGGAAATGGTGTCTGCCGAATCGCTTGAACTGCTAAAAAAATCAGGAGTTAACTTCGAACGCCATCAGAACTTGGGTGTAACTGCTTTCGAATTTGCGCAACTTGTGATGGACTCGGGGCTGGTATCGGACGACGTCACTTGGGTCAGCTATCATGCGGCATATGACTTTGGATTTTTAGTCAACATGCTTATGAACAACGCAATGCCTAACAACAAAGAAGACTATGTTTGGTGGGTCCATCAGTTCATGCCCAGCTTTTACGATCTCAACCTTATTAACAAATTCGCACAACAGCAGCAGCAACAACAAAACCAAACTCAGGGCCAACCACAGCAGCAGCAACCCACACTCGAAGCGATGGCAGACGATATAGGTATTCCGCGCTTCCCGCTCTTCTCATCGACAGCTGGGCAGAGCTTGCTTGCTCTATTGACATTCACGCATTTGCTCAAACTGCGCGTCCCACATCCACAACTGGGACCCGATTTGGCTCGGTATAAGAACATGATATATGGAATTACCAATGAATAAGCTGCTTGTCGCAGTTGTATTATACGATGTAGTTTTACACAGACTTGATACCTGGGTGGGAGTTTCGGGTTGCATGAATGATCAAGCGTTAAGCTTAATTGTGCCCAAAAGCAGAAATAAACTGCTTGGAGGCATCATGTCATAAAAGACTACAATTTGCATCACAAGAATTCAGCAGCGTGTGGTTAGAGCAACTTTGACTGAGGCATTATCATTATCACCAAAGAATAAATAGTATCAATAACTAAGCATGCAAGTTCTGCGAACTAAGCGAACGCCTTTCATGCCAGAAGGCGAATCTTGAATCGAAATATTTACTCAAAGGGCGAGTGAAAGTGTCATGATCACTGCTGGTTCTACAAATATGGTATGAAAATTTTTTATTACAATGATTAAAAAATGATACTAGATTTTGAATAATGCGTTAAATTCAAGTCAAAGATCGATATTTAGTTCGCATACACCAGACTTTTGCGCGGTTTCGTAAAGCCCATTGCATTTCATAGCTCAAACATCATTATCGTGGTTGTTTTTTGAAGCTCAACATTTAGAATACTCGTTGATTTAATTGCATTTAAGCGTTGCGACCTCTAATTCATTAAAATGACTAGCATTGACAACGTCCCAGAGATCGGCTATGCATTTCTCAAGACATATTACCAGAGAATGCATCAAGATCCTACTAAGGTCCATCATCTTTACTCAACTACCGCGGAGTTGACACATGTGGATTATCAAAACGAGTGGAATTTAGAAGATGATCAGTTACCTACCGTCAAGCTCATTGGTAAAGAGAATATAAGCAAGTTTTACACCAGACACAGCAAGAAAGTGCGCTCTCTTCAAGTCAAAGTTGATGCGTGCGATTTCCAATCTGCGGGTCCCAATAACGCGAGCATCGTGATACTGGCGGTGGGTGAAATGTGTTGGACTGATACTCCGAGCTTCCGGTTCTGTCAATCTTTCTTGCTTTCTCCTGTTCCCAGCAATCCTAAAATTTACGATGTGACCAATGATATCTTGAGGTTTGTGCCACAATCAATTCTTCGAGTCAGCGACTTGAAGCCTGAATGTGACAATTCACCCGAAGAGCTTCGCGATACATTAGTAGAAGGGTCGGATGATAAGCCCGAGGAAACACCAGAAGAGCAGGTTTTAGCGCCACAAAATTACCAAACTTCTGAAAAGTCGGGAGAAAGCATAAAAGGATCTGTCTTTGAGTCCGAGAAACCGCTAGATGCACCCGAGAATAGGCTGGTAAAAAATGTGGAGGAAAACGTTGAGCAACCGAAAGATCAACAACAACAGCTAATTCAGGAAGGTGAAGCGAGTGAAAAACAAATGAATTCTTCAGAGCCGAATGGGGATTCACAGCAGCCGACAGAAGATAGCGCTGAGGAAACTGAAACGGCGCTGCACGAAAGCGCGCCATTGACGAGTAATGATACCACGAAAGATAAAAGCATAGAGTCCGAGAAACCTACAGCTGCGGAACCTACAAAGAAAATGAACTGGGCTTCAAAGCTGGCCGCTGCAGAGTCCAAAGATGTACCAAACGTCACAACCAAATACATTCGTGCCGAGCCATTAGTATCACAGCCTCCTAAAAAGGTGTCAGAGCGGAAATCGGTGTCTCCTAGCGGCTTACCGAGAGACGCCAAAGATAGTAAAAGCCTGAAGAAGAAGCAGTTTAATCTCGTCAACAAAGATGGTTTTTATCCCGTTTACGTGAAAGGCACTGGGGGTGTTACTGATGAGCAATTGGTGAAAGCTCTCGAAAGTGAGTTCGGGGTTGTCAAAAAGATTTCATCTCAAGAGACGTTCGCCGTTATAGACTTTGAAGACCAGCGGTGGCAAACAGAAGCCATAGAAAGGGGCACGCTAAAAATAAATAACATCGAAGTCCACATGGAGCCGAAAACAATACGGAAAATTAATTCCCCTTCAGCTGTATCTTCTGCATCTCCATCGGGGCAGCGCTTCAGCAAGAAACACGCCAACAAAAGAAAAGCTTAATGGATACTCAACGATACAAACAATAAAAACTACCAGTCAAAATATCTATAGCATTTACCTACATAGACTGTAAAGCAGAGCAACGACGTGCTTGTGAATTACATGTATTTTTAATATGGCACTACCTTTAATTAAGCTTTCAATCAGGTGCCCAATGTAATATTGAAAATCCATCTTCTTAAACAATTGAACAGCAGAAGTATCGTACAAAAACGCATTCGCTTTTTGTTCAAGTACGCTATACAACGGCATTAGCCATGCTAGTACCGCCGGCTAATTTTGGAATCGCAGAAGAAGGGATTTGTATGGAAATTTGCACCTATAAAGGGTATACAACAATGATTCCTTTACTAACCTCGTTCGCTCCTTAGATCGGTCTTCTAAGATTGAAACACTCAACTTATCGTTCCTGGAAACGCTCAATCTCAGGACAGTGATATTTGTTGGTGGACAGGAACCCTCAAAATTCTTCCGGGAGTTCTTCGAACGATCGTACATTCAATGGTTCGTTGTGAGGACAGCAGATGTTTCGTCAAGCTTGGCTCCTGTGAATGTCATGGATACCAAGACTAATACGGAGGACAACTCCCTCAACTCTCACTCAAAGGATGAGGACAATGGTTACGAATTGAGCGACAATGACGATCTAATGATCATCAAAAGCTACAGTTTGAAGAGAACCTTTGAGCTCTTACTCAGTACTTCCAATCACAACACGATCTTAGTTGACAAGACATCTATTGTGGTTGGGATATTGAGGAAAATACAGAAATGGAATATCGCATCAATTATCAACGAATACAGGCTATTCGCCGCAAAGAACAGCAATTACTTTGCGGAAACATTTTTGGAAATGATCAATGTGCGAATTGTACAAGAAGAAGACGATTCGTTAGGACTGAGCAACCTCGAAGGTCTGTTACTTAATGATGCTGACGAATCAAAAGACGTGCGGGGATTTAATAAGTCGGAGATCGTATATGAATCTGACTTAGAACTTCCTCCAAAAATACCGTTACATTTGCTACGCATCCTAGAAGACGTAAAAGCAGACAACAAGGAGGTGAATTTACAGCCAGATATAGATGTTTCGATGATATCGAAGACGCACTCCGACCTAGGAATTTTCGGGAATCGCTACCGCTTGGCGTTCAATAAAAAAGAGCGTGCCGATTATGATTTTTACAGAGGTGGCAAGCACAATGTTATAACGTTTCATATTTCTAGAGAAGCACTATTGCCTGAATGGTTTAAGCGGCAACGTGATGTATGGGAAAAGGAAAACGCTCAGGAGCAGCACAACTTTTACAAGGAAAGCATTTTTGGTTAACGCATGTGATTTATTAAGTTTGGATATTGAGACTTGCCATAGTGTGGGTATTTTAATTGGGCTGAAGTAGTGGCAATGTCGATTCACTACGGATTGACAATGTCAAAAACTCGAATAGAGAGGAGATGAACAAAAGAAGTACGCATGAAATAATGATAGGAAGATTCAAACTCCACGCTTCCGCTGTTTCAATGGTTTTGACTCTGTATAAACCGGTTTGTGATAGGGTTCTGCTTCTCACCTCTGCTTTATAATTAATCGCAGGTCAAATGTTGTGTAATCCTCACTTCTAGAGATACAGCCTATCAAAAGTGAGTTTTTTAGCTCCGTCCATTGAATAGGCAAAACCTCCTTTCCCCACACTGCTTGCTGACCTTTTGAGTTGATTACAAAAACGTTAAGTTTGCTGATTCGTCTTGTGCTCTATTGAATTTTTTTCGTAGCACGGCCTTTCCAACTCACAAGGAGCACCAGAGATTATTCGTTAACTGCGCTCGAAAAATTACACTGTAATTCAATGGTACGAAAGTTTCAATAGCTTTTGTGTGATAATAAGACTATAGCAGTATTAGATTAAGGAGGTTGCACAAATTTCCGAGTTTTTCGACATGTGGAAATTTCTCGTTCTGTTTTGCTTATCTCAAATGGCATCAAGAGGGGACCCTTTACAGAAGAGTTAATTAAAACAGCCAGTCTACTGACATTAGGCTGTACACGGCTGCCGCGCCAGATGACCTTTAAATTTTGTGTGGGCTATAGCCGGTTTTCATCACCTTTGATCTTCAGCGGTCAATAAATCAGACATCTTTCGAGCCTATGAAAATCAAGCACAGCCTATGCATGCAATAGTGTACTTGGCAACAGAGCTCCTTATTCAAAGTCTTTGAATTGAAACTTCGACGCTGATGGTGAAACCTGGTTTATGCGTCAACACAGAAAAATCAAATACGGGACCTGAAGAACCTTATCGCACGAGAGTGTACGTTGTCTCAAAAAATTTGATGATAACTGCTAATGTGCTGCGAATGGTCAACTTGAAAAAAAGAGACTTGTTCTAAGATCGAAATCAGAGTGCTTGGCAAACCATCATCTACTAAAGGAAGACTTAATGAAAATTAGCTAAGAATGTATCCCTGATAAATGATTGAAATGCAAAATACCTAAGTTCTGCTACTTACACATTGCAGAAAATATGCGATGATTTTGGTACTCAAGTTTGTTTACATTATGGAGATGCTGAACTACCACTGATCTGACATAGTTTAGTTAAGCGACACGGAAAGTGCCAGAAGAAAAGGAAGCGCGGACAGTGGCATGGTTAACAAGCCTAAGATTGTCGTTAGATCACTAGGATAAGTAAGAAAGTGTTAATTTCCTGTCGTTTTTTTTACACCCAGGGCTCTCACCTATAAATAATAATACTTACTTTACGGGCCTCGTTGCCTTGCTGACATCCATACACAACTCATATCCACTCCACGTTGAAAAGAAGCTCTAAAACGTGCTGGCAGCCTCCACGGTGAGTACCTATTAATGAGCAATCTAGCTGAGGGGGATTTCAAAGTTACTCCTATCCCGGTGGAATTTATCCAGCTTTGCTAAGACGGGCTTCGTTGATGGACTTGAGCGCCGATGCTGGTACTATGGTCCTGAAATACCTCCGGAAATGAAACTAGTCTGATCAACTCATGAACAACTTAAAGCACCATCAGCTGACAAAATTCCGGAGGAATTCGTCACTAAGCAATCAGCGTAATTCCAAGGGAAAGCTGTGGAACTTGACTTAACTATTTAAAGCCTGGATGTAAATCAGACAGGCCTTCTCTAGAAACACCTTGCATCTTAAGTCAAGAGAATTCGTTTGAATCATAGCATATTATAATGGTTAAAAACGTTCTTTTGCTAGGATCTGGGTTTGTTGCCCAACCAGTTGTCGATGTTCTAGCAGCCACTGAAGGCATCAATGTCACAGTTGCTTGTAGAACTTTGGCTAAAGCGCAAGAGCTGGCCTCTGCGTCGAAATCCGCTGCTATGTCAGTGGATGTTACCAAAGATGAAGAATTGGACGCTGCCTTGTCGAAGCACGACTTGGTTATTTCTTTGATTCCATACATTTACCACGCTGCCGTGGTCAAGAGTGCGATCAGACTTAAGAAAGACGTTGTCACTACCTCTTACGTTTCGCCAGCTTTGAAGGAGTTAGAGCCTGAGATCAAGAAAGCCGGCATCACTGTCATGAATGAAATTGGTTTGGACCCTGGTCTCGACCACTTGTACGCTATCAAAACCATCGATGAAGTTCACAAGGCTGGTGGTAAGATCAAGTCCTTTTTGTCATACTGCGGTGGTCTACCAGCTCCTGAAAACTCCGACAACCCTCTTGGTTACAAGTTCTCGTGGTCGTCCAGAGGTGTCTTGTTGGCCTTGAGAAACTCGGCCAAGCTATGGAAGGACGGAAAAATTGAGGAAGTTAGCTCAGAAGATTTGATGGCCTCTGCCAAGCCATATTTCATTTTCCCAGGCTTTGCTCTAGTGTGCTACCCTAACAGAGACTCGACTCCCTTCAAGGAACTCTACGAGATCCCAGAAGCTGACACTATCATCAGAGGCACATTGAGATTCCAAGGCTTCCCTGAGTTCGTAAAGGTTTTGGTGGACGTTGGCATGCTCAAAGACGACGAAACCGAAATATTCCAGAAGCCAATTGCGTGGAAAGAAGCCCTTCACCAATACTGGGGTAGCAAGTCTTCTTCTAAGGAAGATTTGATCTCTGCCATTGATGCCAAGACTAAGTGGGTCACTGAAGAAGACAGAGAAAGAATCTTGAACGGTTTCGGCTGGTTGGGTCTTTTTTCTGACAACAAGATCAAGCCAAAGGGCAACGCTTTAGATACCTTATGCGCTACTCTTGAAGAATTGATGCAGTTCGAAGAAGGCGAGCGTGACATGATCATCCTACAACACAAATTCGGCATTGAGTGGGCTGACGGCACTCCAGAAACCAGAACCTCTACTTTAGTCGCGTACGGCCAGCCAGGTGGTTACAGTGCTATGGCTGCCACCGTTGGCTTGCCATGCGCCATTGCTACTAAGCAAGTCTTGGAGGGTAAAATAAAAGGACCAGGGTTGGTTGTTCCATACAGTCCTGAAATTAATGACCCTATCATGAAGGAGTTGAAGGAGAAGCACGGTATTTTCCTAACGGAAAAGACTATTAGCTAAGCTAATTCAAGGTATAGATAGTCTAATATTTAATCGGAATACAGTGAAAGGAAAACCTTTTATAGATGCCGAGAGTTTTTGAAGGTGCCTTCGCAGAAACTCTCTTGAGAGTGCTATATGACTAGCATTTCTCTACTGCTTCTCGACTTTGAGCAATTCCTCACTTCAGCTGAAGATTGATTTCCTTCACTGGCTTAACAAATGCGTTGATAGAACATGACTACTATGGTATTGAGACTAGTAAGTAGCTTACTTTTAGGCCTGCAATTGTAACGCACGGTACTAGTCGCTGAACTTAAACGGTTTATAGGCTAACTTTCAAAATACCCTTGGCTCAAGGAAAACAGAGCTTCGAGTTTGTCCTTCAAACCTGGGATGAGGTGCTCGGCCACATTCTTAGCGTAGAGCTGCACGGCTGAAAAGAGCTTCAGTATAACAATATTACTTGGCTTTCAGCATTCCTCGTTTGCACTGTTTAGAGTTCGTTGGCCTATTTTAAATATTTACGTTAAGGTTATCTCAAAAATGAAAGATGTAATAATTAAGTACCTAAACCTAAGACAGTATTCTACTCATGAGCTCTACTGTAAGCCAGAAACCGACCAAATTCTGGAGTAAGGTCAAGTCCTCTACGAAATCGTTTTCTTCGTCTTTCGCCCAACTTTCAATCAAACAAGAACGCGATGGTGATACACCTACGACAACTGTGGTTCACAAAGCATTGGTAAAATTCTACTCCCACCAGGAGCCCTTTCAGGGATTTCCAGACTGGCTAGGCCATAAGGAAGAGCTGCCAGATGAGCAGAAAATACTCAGGAAGCATAAGGACCATCATCATGACCCCAGAGCTCCCGCTAAAGCACACACGGCAGAAACTGAAACATCTCGCACGCAGCCAGTATCGCCGGCGGCCACAGCACGCCCGACAGCAGGAACTGATTTTAGAGGTATTTATAAAAGCTCTCTAGGATCACGAGTCGCTCATTCGTCCTCAGCACCTCCATCTTCTGTTCCGGTGAGCTCAGATACGAGCATGTCATCACGTGCCCCACCTCCCACCCAAAGAACTTCATCGATGCTGATGCGCGAGCGTTTGAAAAGGAAATGAAGTAGCCGTTCAAACACCCAGTGTTCCCATTCATGCTTTTAGTTGAAAATGCGCGTTTTTCTGTGTTGTTCGCGATATATAAAGTACGTTCTCGCTCAGTTAGCTCACGCTGTTTGCCCGTCGACTATCGAAAAATGAGAAATACGCTTTAAAATTCAAGCTGGTCGGGATCATAGAACAGCATGCTTCAACTCATGCCTTTCGATAAGGGCTTGGGAATGACGATAAAATACGAGGATGTTCCGTTCTTTACTCTTAGATTCTAGCGATGGAAAAGGGACTTTGGTAGCTTCACGGATTGCATCGCTTCTCCCAAAAGTCACGCAATAGATAAAATTAGTTGGGGGGAAGGTTGTAGCAGAACAATGCGTAGGGTCATAAACAGGCACTGGGGTTCAGTATGGCAAACTTTTTGGGCTTGAGTTTAAAGGAAACGCGACCAGCTTCCTGACCTGTGCAGAGTGATGCCATCGACTTTTATGGCCACAAACAAAATGGCCTGAAATTATGTATATCCTGAAAGCAGCGGCAATAGCCCAGAACCATAAAGCTCGCGAAGTAGTAAAGTTTTTGAATACTATGCCCATGAATGAGCTAAGATATCAGCTGCTTTATTACAGAGGAAGGTATGAAGAAATCACGATGGAAGCATCTCATCAGGGAACAGCCTTCAGAAAAAATGCCGCGTACTCGAGACTCCTCACCAGCTTACTCTAATTATGTTTCTCGGTAAGATAGACTTCGAGCCGAACACTGAAGATTCAAACATGTTTGCGACAATGCTGATATCATTATGTACTATAATGACACATTTACATGAGTTTTATATATCTTTATAGTATGATACCATGGTCAAACTATCATCTTAATGAGATTTCTTCGCACGTTAACTACGCAAAGAGGTCGCTAAAACTCCGCATTTGTGTGTTCAACCGTTTCCTGGTTCATAAAGGCGTATTTCAGCCCATATGACGGCGAATTAGAACAGTGGTTACTGATAGTGACAAGTATAGAATGGAATGACATTTACGCTGTCCATTATAATCTACCACCGGCTTCTAGTTTGCCACTAACCAATTGAAATTTAATCGACATGTCGACCGTCCTATATCTTCCATGAATAGGTGATAATCGTGAACGTATTGTTAAATACATGGTGTGATAAACATCAATCTCCAGCGCAACGTTTAGAGCCAACTGAGATCTTTGAAGGATCTTTCTCACGTTATGCGGTAAGATCTAAATTTCTAATCAGTCCGTGTGTAGTGCTCCACCACCTAGGGCAACTAATACGGACTGTGATACAAGTTTGATTTATTCACATTTATACAAATTAATGGCTAACAATCGTTCTCCTCTGTACGCTTGCGACTATGGGGGGTATTCGGATTGCGATTGATAGAGGTGGTACGTTCACCGACTGTATCGGGAATCCCGGTTCAGGAAATCCTGAAGACGATGTAGTTGTTAAGCTTCTATCTGTAGACCCTAAAAACTATCCAGATGCCGCTTTGGAAGGGATTAGAAGGCTTTTAGAAGTATTCAGCAAGTCCTCAATTCCTCGAGGGTCAAAACTTGATATTCAAGGTGTGGAAAGTATTCGGATGGGTACTACATTGGCCACGAATTGTGCTTTAGAGAGAAACGGGGAACGATGTGCTTTAGTTACTACCAAGGGTTTCAAGGATGCTTTAGTGATCGGGGATCAAACTAGACCCAAGATATTTGAGCTTAATATCCAAAAGCCTCTGCCGTTATTTGAACTGGTGGTAGAAGTCGACGAGAGAGTCACTCTTGAAGATTATGCAGAGGACCCTGAATCCAAACATGCAGTTGCGGATAATGCCCCGAATACGGTAGTTGGGAGAAGTGGTGAAGTCGTGCGGATTTTGAGAGAGCCTAACGAAGATAGCATCGAGTCCTCGTTGAGGCTAATCTACGAAGCTGGTATTCGTTCTATAGCCGTGGCATTTTTACATTCCTATACATATCCGGACCACGAAATTGCAGTAGCGCACATTGCGAGAAAGATAGGATTTTCTGACATTACTGTTTCGTCTCAGCAATTTCCTATGATCAAGTTTGTTCCTAGGGCTAATAGCTCGATTGCTAATGCATACTTGACACCTGTAGTCAGAAATTATTTGGAGGGAATTGAGGCTGGTCTTGTGAATGCTGAAAACACTCATATTCAATTCATGCAGTCCGATGGAGGTCTTGTTGAAGGCTCTCGGTTTTCTGGCCTAAAGGCTATCTTATCTGGTCCCGCTGGCGGTGTTGTTGGGTATTCTGCTACTTGTTATGACTCTAATAACAACATTCCACTCATCGGATTTGATATGGGCGGCACTTCAACCGATGTCAGCAGATTTGGGGAGGGCAAACTCGACCACGTTATGGAAACCGTAACTGCTGGAATAGTAATTCAGTCCCCTCAACTTGATATTAATACAGTGGCTGCCGGTGGTAGTTCGATGCTATTTTGGGAGAATGGTCTTTTTAGGGTTGGGCCAGAATCTGCTACCGCAGAACCCGGTCCTGCAGCTTATCGCAAGGGTGGTCCATTGACAATCACTGACGCAAATCTTGTTCTTGGCCGATTAGTACCGGAGTTCTTTCCTAAAGTTTTTGGACCTCAAGAGAACGAATCGGTTGACATCGAAGCGTCGCTGGTAAAGTTCCGTCAGCTTACGGATATTGTAAATAAAGATTTGAATTCCGAGATGAGTTTGGAGGAAGTGGCATTTGGTTTTATTAAAGTTGCCAATGAATCTATGACAAGACCAATTCGGCAGCTCACTGAGGCTAGAGGTCATATTGTTTCGAATCATCGGCTTATCACGTTTGGTGGTGCCGGAGGCCAGCATGCAGTGGCTGTAGCCCAGTCGTTGGGTATTGATACTGTCATTGCACACAGGTATTCCTCTATCCTTTCAGCTTATGGGATGTTTTTGGCAGATGTTGTGGAGGATATTCAAGAGCCTTGCTCTCACATCTTAAACCATCCAAATATAGAGAGTAAGATTTGCGCACGTTTCGAAGAACTAGCCAAGAAGGCTACTACAAACCTATTGGAACAAGGGTTTAAAGTGAGTGAAATTGTTTTTGAGAGGTACTTAAACCTCAGATACGAAGGTACTGAATCTACTTTGATGATTCTGAAAGACGCCAATTCTTGGAACTTTGAAAAGTCTTTTGCAGAGACGCACAAGCGCGAATTTGGATTTTCTTTGTGTGATAGAGACGTTATCATTGATGACATCAGAATACGTGCCATCGGTAAGGGCCACGTCAGATCGGAAGAGTCCATTGACGAACAGTTGTCAAATTTAAGACGAAGAACTGTCGATCCCAAGAAAGAATCCAGTTTTTTCAAGAAGGTGTTTTTTGAATCTGGCTTCATTAATACACCGGTCTATCGAATTGAAAAAATGTCCGCTGGGAGTATTGTAAAGGGCCCAGCAATTTTGGCGGACGGCACGCAAACAAATGTCATACCACTTAAAGCTGAAGCCACTATTCTTAAATCTCATGTTGTTATCAGACTACTGGGTCAAGTGCGCAAATTTGAGGAAGCTTCTGAAGAAGTAAATCCTATCCTACTTTCAATCTTCAGCCACAGATTTATGGACATTGCAGAGCAAATGGGAATCCAACTGAGGAAGACTTCAATTTCGACTAACGTGAAAGAAAGACTGGATTTTTCTTGTGCTCTCTTTGATCCAGATGGGAATCTGGTGGCTAATGCTCCACATGTCCCAGTGCATTTAGGCTCTATGTCGACATGTATTGCAGCTCAGGCCGCAATTTGGAAAAACAAATTGAAGCCGGGAGATGCCATTTGGACCAATCACCCTGAGGTGGGCGGCACGCACTTACCAGACATTACGGTTATCACTCCTTCATTTTCGGAAAAAGACGGCGAGATTATATTTTATGTGGCCTCAAGGGCACATCATGCAGATATTGGTGGAATTCTGCCTGGATCTGTTCCTCCAAATTCAAAAGAGCTTTACGAAGAAGGCGGTACTGTATACTCGGAGCTACTGCTCGATGGGGGTGAATTTGATGAGGCGTCGGTAAAGAGGTTGTTGTTTGATGAACCCTCTAAGTTTCCTGGCTGTTCTGGTTCTAGGAGACTCAGTGACAACATCAGCGATCTGAAAGCGCAACTTGCTGCAAATTCTAAGGGTATTCACCTAATAAGCAAATTGATGCAAGATTTTGGACTTGAAATGACCGTAAAGTACATGCGTGCAATTCAAGATAACGCATGTGCAACAATCAAGAAAGTCTTGAAGCAAGTGACTGAACATTTTGGATCCACCGAGTTCTCTAGCGAAGACTATATGGATGATGGATCTGTGATAAAATTGAAAGTATCACTTGATGTGAACAAAGAAGAGTACGTCTTCGATTTTGCTGGAACTTCCCCACAAATATACGGTAATCTAAACGCACCTATTGCTATTACAAATTCTGCGATTTTGTATTGTCTGAGGTGCTTGGTAAATGAGGACATACCGTTGAACCAAGGATGTCTGAGCCCTATAACAATAAAAGTACCACAAGGGTCATTACTAAGTCCCACGAAGGGTGTCGCTGTTGTTGGAGGAAATGTCCTCACCTCTCAGAGAGTGACAGATGTTATTTTGAAGACTTTCAAAGTGATGGCAGATTCCCAAGGAGATTGCAACAACTTTACGTTTGGCACTGGTGGCAAAGACCCGATTACAGGTGAAGTCTTGGGAGGATTCGGATACTATGAAACAATCTGCGGCGGCCATGGAGCAGGTGGTGATTCGTGGAGAGGCCCTGGCTGGCATGGGACTGATGCTGTTCATACTAACATGACAAACACCCGGATGACAGACGTTGAGATTTTAGAGCGAAGATACCCAGTGCTGGTTCGGGAATTCTCAATAAGAAGAGGCTCAGGTGGTGGAGGTCAGTACAAAGGTGGAAATGGTGTCATCCGTGACATTGAGTTCCGGACTCCGGTTCAAGCTTCAATGTTGTCCGAGCGCCGTGCTATACCACCAAACGGCCTTCATGGTGGGGGAAATGGCGCGAGAGGCTTGAACCTTTGGATTCGCAAGCAAACGGGTGTTGTCATCAATATCGGTGGCAAAAACACTATAAACGCACAGCCCGGTGATCGTATTGTTATTATGACCCCTGGTGGTGGCGGCTACGGACTATAGGGTTTCGAAGTTGATGATAGTGGTAGTAAAATTGATTGTGAGGGTTTCATTGCAGCTGGAAACGCTATTGGAGCCAAACGTTCTGTCCGGCTGGCTATGACGCTTGTAGACAGCACAAGTTTGCTGGTTCTGGCGCATTTTTGTTGGATATACTAAGAAGGTGATATTCGCGCAATGTGGCTTGGGCTAGAGGTTGGAATTTTTCATATATGGTGTTGGCAAGTGACAAATGCAATACAGAGACTCCCACTAGTCGAATATATTGGTGTTACGCATGCCACAGTAGCTATGAAGTATGGTGGTTCTTTGCCCATGTGTCCACAAGTTTTCACTGCTGCGATTTGTAACCATTCAAGGGCGGTATATATATTATTTATCAAAAGCATGAATACGGATAGTTCATCAGCGTGTGATTCCAATTAGCCACCAAGCTACAGGTTCAATACAACCATTGCAAAAAGTCGCGATGGACAATGTCACACTTGCCAGTGATAAACAAACCAAATAGCGAAAAATGATGTAAACACTGTTTGCAGATCTAGAGGAGCTCCTCCTAATTAATGCAGGTCTCTTTTCGCTAACGTCAAAAAAATAATCTCGTATCTGACGCCTCGGTAGCTAAGTGGAAGACGAACCTTGCTCATTTGTAGCTCAACGATGTTCGGGCTTTACCAGCAAAACTTGAACCCCATTAAGCTTCGAAAGAACACTGTAGTAGGCAAAAAAAGCGCAACGCAAGAGGCATTGTAGAGGAACTGCTAAAAACCCGTATCTTTTTTCTAAGAGCCTTGGCTGCGTTATAAACAGGCTTCCAAGTCCGATCGCCTGCAAAAGCTGCTGTCGGGATCTACAAAGGTACGCTTCCAGACGTTCTTATCGACAACTCATGTAGCGTAGTGATTTTCGGGAAGAGAAGAGGAAGGTATGGTAGGAAAGGCCGTTGCAGTCAACTCTCCGTAACTTTTCCAAGCCTGAAGAGCCGAGACTACTAGAATCTACAAGCCTGTTACCCATTTTTTTTCCGGCCCACGCCATTGTCTCGAGCACCACCAATCTATACTCTCTATAGCTATCAAAGATAAGATGAATGTGTGCAGCAGGCCAGATAGTTGGATCAGTGGCCATGAAACGAAAGGATGTGCAAACACACGTGGATTTTATCTACACAATGGACTAGCATGGACAGCTAAGAAATAGTTGCGGTAAAGTCATTGTCGAGTTCGGTGATACGTGGTTCGAGTATCGACCAAGCAAATTTTTCAACTCGGACTTTGGCAACTTGGTTAAAGTGCCTGTAAGCTACGACAGGCAAGGTCCAGTGTCTTTGAGTCATAGCAGTTCTTGAATTGGTCACTGAACTTTTTTTAGCTAGGTTGCATAACGTAGTAGTAGTTTAGCATCCGAGATGCGCACTTGTGGAGTTTTGATAAGCTATGTCGACTGAGATGCGAGTCTTGCTGTCTGTTTAGTCAGAGTAGTAAGTGTGGTGGTGGCACGGGAGAGTTGTGTGGCGGCTTTTCCTTCAAGGGTTTGCGCAAGTTGAAGCTCACAAGATGAGAAGATGATGTTGTGTAGTTGGTATAAGAATCGAGAGGAAGTAGTTGTCTTGATAGAGAGTAAGTGCGTTTCGGGAAAGGCATCCAAGAACAGTAGAAGTTAAATACATAACAATGAGCAGCGAGTCCTCGTCGTCGCTGGACAGAATCGCGATCGAAGCCGTGGACAAGACGGTTGTGTGTGAGCCTGTGAAAGAACTAGAGGCGACCGAAAACTACAAGGTCATCAGCTCGAGAGACGCGGATGTAACGCTGCGGTTTCTCGAGGAGCACGACGCTCACGTTGAGCCCATTTCGCCAGAGCGCGAACGCAAACTTTCGCGGAAAGTGGTCTGGATCATCGTCCCACTGACGATGTTTATCAACATGGTGCTGTACGCAGACAAAGCTGCGATGTCGTTCGCAGCCATATTCACGTTTTTCGAGGATACTGGGCTTACGCAGAACAAGTACAATAACGCCAACACGCTGTTTTACGTTGGATTTGTGCTGGGCCAGAGTAACCTGTACTTTCTGCAAAAGTTCCCAGTGGGCAAAGTCGTAACCGTTATGACAGCTCTGTGGTGCATCATTATGTTTCTACATTGCGCAGCGTACAATCCCAGTGGCGTTTATGCGCTACGGTTTTTTTTGGGATTCGTCGAAGCCATTGGTGTGCCGGTTCTAAACATTACTATGGGTCAATTTTTGACCGCAGAGGAAAAAGCGGCTACTGCGCCGGTTTTCTACGCTAGTTGTATGGGCGTCGCAATTCCAATTGGTTTCATCGCCTACGGCGTTTTGCACATCGCTAGCACTTCCATAGCCAACTGGAAGATCTTTTCCATCATTATCGGCTGTATAACATTCATTACCTCGGCCTTGGTAATACTGCTGTATCCAAATAACCCAACAGATGCCAAGTTTCTAACCACGGAGGAAAAGGTTTGGGTCATTAGAAGAGTTCAACAAACGACTGGCTCGTCAATTGAACAAAAACAATTCAAGAAGCACCAAGTTAAAGAAACCCTCCTGGATCCAATTACCTGGCTCTTTGGGGGATTTTTTCTGCTGCAGCAGCTTGCTAACAATCTCGCCTATCAACAAAACCTTTTGTTTGAAAGTCTGGGCGGAATCACCAATTTGGACGCAACACTGGTTTCAGTGGCAGCGGGTGGTTACAACGTTATTTGTGCACTGTTGGCGACCTGGTGGTTGATGTGGAAGAAAGACACAACTGCCTATTCCGTAGTGTTTTGGTCAATACCTTCACTGGTCGGATGTATTGGTAGTGTCGCCATGTCGTGGGATAACTCCATCGGAATATTGGCTATGATTTGTCTCGCAACACCATTTGGTGTTCCTTGGATTATGATGTTCAGCTGGAACGTTACTAGTTGCTCTGGATATACCAAAAAGTTGACTAGAAGCGCGGTAGTCATGTTTTTCTATGGTATTGCCAATATCATTTCTCCTCAGCTATGGCAACAGAGCACTGCTCCTCGCTACAAGCCTGCGTGGATAGTTCAAATTGTGTGTTCGTTCTTTACTGCGCCGCTCTTAGCCCTGGTTATACGCCATATTTTGAGCAAGAGAAACAAAGAGAGGTTAGCAGTGATTGCTGCGCAAGAAGACACAGAAGTTGGGGTTGTAGAACGCGATGGTGAAAAAGTCAAGGTCAACTTGGCCATGATGGATCTCACGGATCTAGAGAATGAGAGGTTTGTCTACCCATTGTAGGTTTAGTAATAAAGACATTAATTAAAGGAACGTATACAACAAATATATAGAAAAACATACACATCAGTACTATTTCAAGAGCTCCTCTAGAATCTTATTGGCACTTGCGTTATCGTTAGCATTCATAGACTTAATTCCTAGCCTTCTAAGCACTTCCACCACCTTTGCTTCTGCAAAACCCTGAGACACAAATTGATTCACCAGCGCTCTATCGATACCATAAAGCTCTGCCTGATCTACTGGTTTGTCTTCGGCATGCGAGTTCAGCGGCGCATAAGTCTTAGTCCAGAAAGCAGCGGTTTTGTTGAAAGATTCCCGGTCTCTCATGTAATGTTGGGCTACCTCAGCGTCCTGGGGGTCGTTAGGCTCTGGGGATTGCAGTAGCGCCTGTAAAGAGATCAGAGCTGATTTCAACGTTATAACGGGCGACCACGCATTTTTCAAAATGTCAAGACATATAGCTCCGGTGACGGACGAAACATTGGGATGGTACACTTTGGTGTCAAATTTCATCTTTGGGGGCTTGAAAGGATATTCCATGGGCACCTCAATGTCTACAATGAACTTGCCGTTCTCGTACGGCGTTCCAGGCGGTCCCAGAAAAGCACCCTTTAAGAGGTGAATATCATTTTCGTTCACCAACTGCAGATCGATTTTGGCTTCGGGATCGTCTTTGATCCCTTGCAACTCCTTCATAACCCTCTTGGCCCTGGACATCCTGGATTCCTGACTACTTAATTGCAAAACAATGCTGAATATCTTGTGAGTTGCTAGATTTTAATAAATCCTTACATGTACCACACGAATACGTATACAATGCTTCTACGAGCCAGCGAACAGAGCTATTAGTTCCTTGTCAACTACTCGTCATTTCAATTGAGATGTGCTTCTAGACAGTCCTCAATCGGTTGTTTGATCAAGGCGTTTTTCAACAACACTAAAATGTTGATCCTAGACCGTTGACGAGTTCCCACATTTTAGTAGAACATCTTCGACGAGACATAGATGTTACCTTGCAAACAGTGGAATAAGTTGTTAAATAGAAAGCAAGTTGGAATAATAAGAATCTATAGTGTCAGTTTGATGCCCCACACGGGCGAATCAGGGCGCCGCCGTTTTTTTCTGCTAGAATAGTCTTTACTACGCGGGAGCACGTAAACTTTATCTGACAAGCTATTTGAGGCCATGAATATCAATTCAAGATTGGCTTCAAAATCAAGCTACATAGTGCTCCATACAGCTAGCAATTTTGCTTATCTACGTTTTTGAACAATCAAGAAGATGACTTCGTAGAACGGTAAATGACTCGCGGTGAACAGAAATACACCTATGTGTTGTGAACATGGCGGTGGGATCCCATCCCGCTAGTTGGAATGCTATGAACTTAGTATTACATGCTAGAGAATTTCTCTGACAGAGATGTCTTGCGTGCCCGGACGGTTTTCAGTCTCTGTATTATCATCAAAGCTCAAAAATGAGTGGTCTCCGAGCTTTCTGGGTTGGATAATCAGCTTCACCAGGAAGACAATGCCAAAAACGATCGACACACCAGCCACGATCAGGTAAAGAACGCCGAGTGACATATTGCGGCCACCAATGACGCTGTTGGTAGTAAGTATGAATGCTTTCGAACCTCCGAACATGGAGACAGGATAGTTGAGCCCGATGTTCATTTGATACATTCCCTTTGGTAAAGTCGAGGTTTCATTTTTGAGTGCTAGTTTGTAGAACGTCGGTAGTCCTGCGGTTCTCATCCATACCTGTAATTCCTCCCATTGCGAGAGGTCTGGAATGTTTGCTTCAGTGTAGCCGTCCGGATATTTCTGCGCCCAGTTTGGAGGGGGTACGATTTGAGACGCATTGTAGGTAGTTTTCTTATAGCGATTACGATCGGCACTCCAAGCAATATTCTGGTTAGTGAGTGCGTAGGGTAGTTGAGTTTCATTTACGCCGCTCAGTTCCATCTGATAGGTATCGTTGAAAAGAGAGTTCGCGATCAAGCCACATGGATAGACAATTTTGTCCCCAATAGTTTGCAATGGGTCACAATCCGATGTTAGATCGTCTGCAGCAATGTTCTCGCCTTTGAGCTGTTTGATGTCAAAGGACTGGACGTATTTCCGGTGGTTTTGGTAAAATTTGGTTAGCCGATAGTACACGTAAATGGATTTCTTCAAGTCTGTGGGAATTTCGAATTGCAGCTCGCAGGTTGAATTTCCGTGCTCTGTGTCATTCTGAAGCCGCCATACTGGAGAGACGGATGCCTTTTTTTTGAAATGAGACCTCACGTACTTGGATGGAATTGTACTGAAGGTATCGGATTGAGCCAGAGTTGCACAATGACTGTAGTCAATACTGAGATTTTGAACATTATTAGCGGTGATTATTAGTGCTACCCCGATTGGCGCGAAAATCGCACTAACTAAAATCAGGAGAGGTAATACAGACTGCGGCGAAAGGATAGGTTGCCACGCTCTAAGACGTTGCTGCCTGAATGCTGTGTTTGGAGGCTTTCTAGATTTTGTTGTTAAGTTCTCATTCGATTTGGAGCTTTTGGCTTTTCGACTCCGTAGCCATGCCATACTAGCTGTTTCTGACGGACTGAATTGTAGGTGCTACGTTCACTAATTTCACAACGACTAATATTTCTATCTTATTATTTATTATCTCCAACGAATTAGGAAAATAATTACACACGAAGATTAACGATGTAGAGCCTCAAGACCTAACTTCCAGGCGGCTTTCGATTTCCTACCTTCATGAATAGCATCCCACGGTTTAATAATGGAAGTAAGCGTTGGGGCTGAATAGTTTTTCGCCGCTTTTAATCCTCTGATTGATCCCTGGGATTTTAATGCTTTATAAAAACGAGCTGAGTTCAGGGATACTGACTTATCAAATTCGTACACGCTGCGTGCAACATGCTTCAGGCTTCAGACAATATCAGATGATTCTCGTTGTTTCCATCGACTAAGTTGTCCGCCTTCGTGATGTATTTCGAAAGGTTTTTGATGATCATTTCCACTTCAGGAATGTCCATTACGAATGGAAGTGTTAGAATAGAGCATTCTGGTGACTTCAACAAATCTGTAAACGTCACAATAATACCCCAGCAATGCGGCTTATTTGTGACAATACGCTCAAGTAGCGTTCTGATAATGATCTCTTGAATCTCAGCTGTGTCAGCATCCCAATCTTCCAAAAAGAAGTTTTTTAGCACGTAATTAAACCACTGAGTGTGTGCGTTTGGGTAGCGGAGCTGATTGGCGATGGCCTGCACCACATGAAA